TTTTATAATATTTATACAGGTTAAAGGTTCATACATATGTTTTTCAACCTGACCTGTTTAAAAGAATAAAATAAGAGCTAATAACTATGTTAAAATACTAGTAACAAAAGAAATTTACCAATTAAACCTAATTTACAATATCTAATAATACTAAGGCTATAAAAAGTGAACGTAAAGATGAAATAAAAGTTGTCCCCGACTATAGTTGTTCCTTGAAGGTTTTCAGGGAGGGGGCCAATTTGGTAGCCCTTTCTAGATTATTCCACAGTTTTGGACCGCGATAAGAAAAAGCCTTTTGGCCATTTATTGTTTTTAGCAGCGGTATCATAAGATCAGTTTCTGATGAACGCAGAAACCGTTCTCTATCATCCGAACATTTTTCGAATAATTTTCTCAAATAGTCTGGTGCAAGCATATTTAGAGATTTGTAAGTTAGCGTGGCTGTCTCCTTTCTTACAAGATTTCTGATGGTTAACCAGCCAAGATTCTGAATTATCGGAGCAGCAGATGCATCGTATGGGCTGCTAGTTACAATTCTGGCAGCTCTATTTTGGATTTTTTGCAACACGTCAAGCTTTGATTCATTACAGCAGCCCCAAACGGAACAACAGTAGCTCAAATGGGGCTCAACAATTCCTCTATACATTTTGTTGAGGATGTCAGATGGAAGATATTTCTTAGAATACTTAATAAGTCCAAGGGCTCGATTAGCCTTGGTCTTGATAGTATCGATATGCTTGTCCCAGTTGAGCTTACTGTCTATCTGAACACCTAAGTATCTTGTGTTGGTGATCATTTCAATGTTCTGATCACCTATTGAAAAAGAAAAAGTCCGGACCTGATAAAGAAAAGTCCGAATCACAATCACAAGTCCGAATCACAAGGACCTGATAAAGAAAAATTCTTTATCAGGTCCTTGTGATTTTTCTGTAGCAGCACCATCACCATTATCATCTTCTTCTAAAATCTCTGCTAAATCATCAGGAAATACATGTTCCCAACCAAAGATAGCCTGCGTGCAGACTTTACAAATAGAGGCAATTGTAAGACTTATAATTTCCTCTTTTGTAAAGTCTGCACGCAGGCTAAACCAAGGGCTGAGAACGGGAGGATAGGGCTTCTGTTGTCTTCCGTAAATACCGGTGTGCAATTCGAGGTTTCAAGATGAAAATGTCTCAAAAACAGAGTTCGACTTATACAAGAGATGCTTCTCCTTTACTGATACTAATGTATATTTTTGGGTCTCCAACTAGGAGAGGGGGAAGGTCGACTTATAGACCGGATTGACCTATATACGATGGATATTGTATCATTTCTGTCACTTTTAGAACGCTGTATCGCAAAATTATCAATTTTTTTCTGTTAAATAGAAAAAATGAACTGAAAATTATGAGTTATGTGATTGGTAAAAGTTGATGAGTCATATTTAGATGATTTTTGAAATAACTAAATATATCATTGGACCCAGAAAAACTAACTTTTGAAATACGTGGTGATCTGAAAATTACATCTTTCAAAAGACTGTTTGTTTAAAGAATACGCGTACCTTGAATAAGCCTCATTTAGGCTAGCTATAAAAGTGGGAATATAGAATACTTTTTGTGCAAATAACTCATGTGAAACGAAACATTGGATGTGGAGATACCTCAACCCAGTCTAGAGCTCAAAGACCAGTTCATAACGTATAAGGACGTTGCAAAATGTCTCCAATAATGAGAAATTTTCTTCTACCTGAGATTGGAGAACTTTTAATCGAAATTGCATCGATTATCACTAGATGTCAGTGGTATAAATAATGAAGGTTGAGTAGGAGGAAACGACCTCCCATTCCGAAAGTATTTTCCTTAAAAGAATACAATATTTTTGTATAGAAAGTAGAAGAGAAAAATATGCTGAAACAAGAAAACTCACTAAAATTGCCCAGCCATTCAAAGTCTGCCGCTACTGAAATTATTCAACTTTGTAAAGATTTAAGAATTTAACATTCTATGCCAATTTGACGTTTATTTAAAATACTTAAAACCTTTCAGTCATTCTTTTTTAGATCTAATCAGTGGACTTGGCTCTCGGTTACACAGACCCTCTACTTTCAAGCTAGGGGTCTGGAGCACAGGGTACAATAGGCAAGCGGCACTGATTGGGCAACCTCAACAGTCATGTGCTCGCGTTTCTGATTGGCCTATATTTTCTACCTTACTGTTGATCTATGTTCTGACGTTTTATACTATAAAGTGTGAGATGAGAAGCTTAAGGATGACGCAAAATGCTTCCTTTTTCAAGGCCTCCCCCCTCCCCATTTTCCAACCTTTGTCGGAGCCCATGAAAATGATATGGTTACCATGAAAAAGACAATCCCTCAGAAAATTTAGGATAGGATTAGGATAGTTTAGGATTCTCAGAAAGGTGCATTATTTTGAAATAAATTCCGTCTCTTGTCGCTCAGTAACCATATTTGATAACGAGCGACTGCACGATTTGGCATGCGGCCTTGCGGCACGACGCCATAGTTCATTTCAGAGGCCATGGATCAGAAATCAAAGTAGGTTTTGAATATGGTTTTGAATCAATATTAATGCTTTTGTTTACAGCACCAAACAAACCGGGGGTTGAATTCAAAGATGTCAAAGATTGAATTCTGAAAATTAAAAAGGACTCAAATCATAAAATAATTAAAAGAACAAAATAAAAAAGCATTTGTAAGCCACTTTGCTTGCTTTCAGCTTATTTATAAATAAAAGCCACTTTACATAAAACATGAATGCAAGAGTGTAGGTCGTAAGAGGCTTCTGAAGGAGAAGGGGGCCTGGCGAGCTCCAGTCTTCAGAGAGCGTGCTCAGAGAGCGTGTTCAGAGAGCTTTTACTAGCACCCCTCCCCCTAATACACCAAATCGTATGCACTTCTTTGTCTGGATTGAACACAAAGCAGGGCAACAAAATAACACCGTTTGCTTCTATTTCATTTCATTGCGTTTCTAAGGAACAAAGCCGGTAGAGTTTAAACCCCCTGTCTCATCTCTTCAATATACCTGCATATTTAATTAACACTTAACATTCCAGTTACTTCATCGCTGTACAAGTTAGCAGTTTTACAGGACCTGGTTCTGTAGTACTGCAATCATGGCGAAAGGTTTTACCTTTGCAGTTCTGTTGGTGCTTGCTGGGTTCATCAATTCATTGTGCGCAGTAAGTAGGGCAAGTTCTTTTGTATTCAACTTCAAGAAGTAGAACCTTTTTTGCGTTTTTGACCTTTAGGATATTGTTGTCAAAGTTCAAGACAGCGAGGTGATCGTCCGATATTGCAACACTCATCACCACCATAGTCCTTTTAGATCCTAGAGAAATTCTACAGCCTTTCATTACGACATCTCAATTTCCTCTTTATTGCAATGTAATTGTAGCCATTGTACCCTCAAAATTTCACGTAGGAAATTTTGAGTCTGCGCGCAGGCTATGTAATTGCACTTAAGCGGTGTGATGCTATAAAAAGTCTTTTTAAAAGGACAAATTCTCAAAAAATAATAGCAGATATAGAAGAAAAATATCGATATATTCTGCATTAATGAGTTGCTACACAACCTCTGAAATGCAATTACATTGCAATAAAGGGGAAATTAAGTTTTGGTGAAAATGGAAGGGAATGAGCTTGCTTGGCATTCGAGAAAAGCTGCTGTGCCAGAGTTGCAGAAATTTGTTGACCTTTATCCAAACCTCTAATTTCTGACCCTACCAACAGAGCAGTGGTATGTATTAAAATAAGGGAAACGCCTTAAAATTGAAAGGACATTTGCGATTTAACACTTTTGTATCAGTCTTGTTTTGGTAATTATAGCTCGATCAAGTGCACACCATATAGCCCATTGTTCATAAAAACGCAATAAAAATTTAATATGAAAAACACTTTGTTGGCCACACATCACTGGATTAAGCTATTCCCCCAGAGTGCGATTAAATAAAGCGAAATGGCAGAACTATGGAGAAGATGCAGCGGCAGAGAAATGTAAACAAAGATTTGCATTGATGTCAACAAAGTCTCAACCGATTCAGGAAGCTTTTTTCTCGTGACAAAAGCCAAAAAGTCAGCTGTCTTATTGTAGGCCAATCGGTAGCCTGATAACCAGGCTAATTTATTCCACTTTTTCCTTTAGAATAATGGGCGGATTATCAGGCTAATCAACGGCAAAACAGTTAAGTTTTAAGACCTCTGTCTGTTTGTTTTCTGATTGTGCATGATTCTTCTCAGATTGCTTAAATATATGTTGACAGAGTTAGAAAACCCCTCAGCCTTCCTCTGGATGAATTGTTGCCCTGTTTGCCTTCCTCAAAATTTTCCTTCTATCTTTCGAAAAGATTGAAACGGAATTTAAGTAAATCATCTATGTTTTGGTCTTTACACTTTGTCATGAAAAAGAAAAGTTCAAGCACAACATTAAAGTCCTCTCAGTTTATGTACTCTTGTCAAGTTGGGCACTGCCCATCCTTGTTGGATGACCTTCCCTGCATCCTTGTTGGACGACTTTCATTCGGCTTACAGCCGTGGAACAGTAATGTTTTCTGGACTCTATAGGTTGACATAAAAGTGTGAGGACGCTTTGCCACTAAAAGCAGATTTTTTAACCAGGGACCTAGGACATTATGAAAATTTTCTAAATCTTTGAACATTTCAGAGAAAGGCTTCAGAACTGTGAGAAATGATAATAATGGAAGCATTTTACATCTACTAAAATACACAGTCAACAAAATTATGAGAAAGTTTGCACAGAAACACTGTCTTTCTAAGTAATTTTGGTCTCAAAGACCTTTTACCACCTATCGCTGTCACCAATTATCTGTTGGCGAAAAAGACCCAGTGCCTCTTTATCAACTTTTAGAAGAATCACGTGGAGCATGTTTTGACAAAAGTGGGGGCTACCTTCTTTGCTTGGTCACTGCCTGTTAGTTGTTGATTTCTGTAGTTTTATTCTTTTGTACCAATCCTTCTTTTTATTAAATCATATAAAAGAGCCGAGAAAGGATGCTTTCAATGGATGTACCCCTATATCTACATCCCGAGCTTTCAATAGATGTATCCCTAAATCTAAATCCCGAGCTTTCAATGGATGTACCCCTAAATCTACATCCCGAGCTTTCAATGGATGTACCCCTAAATCTACATCCCGCGTACAGTGTTCAGTCCTACGAACATAAACAGCTGACAGCAAGGTTGGTGCTTCATGTCTCCCCTCTAGTCATAAAGTAGCTTTTCACTTCACAGATTTGGCATTACTGCCTACTTGGAATACTTTGTGATCGGCGTAAATTAAGCGTATACCCCACCAGAAATTATTTCTAGCGACGTCCCTGGCTGAGATCATGTCAAAAATACACGTGGAAGTATTAAAAGCCTGGTTTCCATACTGAAATGAGATGAGGTGGATCATTTTGGTAGTAAGAAGTGGAAAGAGTTTCTATAGTGATAATATATACGGCAATGCAATGTAACAACCACGATGGAATAAAGAAGAAAGTATAAGAATTCATTGCCTTCAACAACAGTTAACTGTTTCGGTAAAAAAAACCGACTCCCTCAAAACAATGTTGATTGTAGAGTTAGATGCCATAAATATATAGCCAGAATCAAATGTTTCACATCTCTAAAAAGGAAATAAAAACAGCAGAGGGAGATGCAATAGAAATTGTGCCAAAGTTGGTGCAGTTGCAGTGCACCCTTTGGAGTGTACCAAGGCATTTGGTAAGGATTTTGCAACATCTAAAGGTATCAGCTCTGTTCAATTTCTTAAGATTCTGCCTTCTAAATTCCACCTTTCAAACTTTTCCAGTAAGACTAACAATTTCTGGCTCTGTTACTTTCTAGACTGACTGCTTTTATGACAACATCGCAAAGCTGGCATCATCTGACGCTCCACTGTATTCAAGACATGATGAAAAGCAAGGTCTGATTTCCAAAAATGTATCAAAAGCTAGCTACCTCGAAATCATGAGAAAAATCAAATCGTCAGGAAACACTTTTGCCTGCGGGTACACAAGGTGGGTTTTGCCATGCAGATCTAGGTAGCACATGAAATATTTATATTTGGTTAACACTTTCTGGAGAAACTTTTGTATTTCATAAAACATTGTATCCAAACGTGAGTGAACAGGCAGAGTCAACGATCATCAAATCAGTATCTTGTGCCACTTAAACCAGCTTGAGCCATTTCAAAAGTATGTCAAATTTTGAAAAATATTTTTTTTGATTAGCCATCTAAGCTATTATTTCTCTTGGATTTTCTTGCGTCAATAATAAGACATCGGGAAGATCTAAGCATCCTCGTGTTGTTTTTTGTCTTGACATGAATGTTTAACTAGATCTTTGTGATTCTTTAATGAATCATCCATCTCATATCTCCATGATAGCCCTAGCATATTTGCATGCATTATCATCATATTCTAGAGGCTGGATCGCAGAAATTCTCCAAGGCCTGTCCTCGCAGTACGACGAATTCAAAGTGAGGAGCCAAAGTGGTTCGCTTGCCGCAGGCTATCTGAACGTAACAGGAAACAAGGTCGTCGACTTATTCAATTCGAACCTCAACTCGCCCAGCCGAATACTGTACAAGTTCCAGATCGTTGGTCCATTGGACCACGTGTGGATGGTGGAGCAGTTGGCAACGGGTGGAGGGTACAGGGTCTACCAAAGTTACAACAATGCATACTCTCTCAAAGCCTGGCTCGCAAAGGGCAACTTGAAAGCACTGCATGGGACGGACATCATCATCTGGCATGACGTAATCAGAATGGCCGACGATTTTCTTAAGAAATATGGCGCATCAATGTCGAATCTTGACAACTTGCCAGTAGCATTGCTGGGCATGAAGCCATGGTTGGTTCACATTCGCGACTACAACTTGACACAAGTTGAAAGCGAATTTCGCAAAGCCTGGTCTGTTGTTGGTCAAGGTCGTATTATGAGCAAGGATTACTTCTACAAGAACTACTTGCAAGTATTGGCAAACTTGACTGAGGCCATAATCCCTTTTGTGAGCACCACGAAACTATGGACACGGGAGTTGCATGACAAATGGACGTCAATATTTGGAGCACCGAACCCAGTTCTATACCCAGGGTACCCATTCAATACCCTGACAGCTCAGTTCAGTCAAAATTATGCACTTGAAGTGAGAGCGTTGGCGATAAACTCAACAGCGGAGGCCCAGTGTCAGGCAAATGCTAATATTCTCGCTGCTAGTTTGGTAAGTATTATATATGAATTTTTTATTTCATTTCTGTCATATCATACGCTGAAATTTAAACTGAAAAACAGAACTACCATATTTCCTCTAATCAACATCGCCCTCTGATAAACGCCGCCCCCTTTTAAATGCCGCATCTTGAAAAACATCGTTCATTAGAAAACACACCAAACAAGAAGTAACGAATAGATTATACGCTTACTATTCGAAAGCTATGAAAGTTGTTATGTGACAGAAGCGAAGACTCTGACGAAGACAGGGATATTGACATTCCTTCACATTTCAATAGCTTGAACATCTTTTGTGAACTTTTTTTCCCAATCTTTATTACGTGTTTTTGGGAAAGAGAAACGTTGTTTATTTTTTTCATCGCACTTTTCTGGTCATTTTTCATTTGACAAACTTTTATTTTGTATTAAACTCCGCCTTCTGATAAATGCCGCATCCAAATTTTGAATTTTAGAATAAACGCTGCGGCGCTCTTTAGAGGAAATACGGTATTCAAAGCATGTTCTGTATGTTTTCCACTTATGTTCAAACCGCAATTCAAAAATGTTTTATGATCGTGTCCCTTGGGTGATAGCTTTACTCTGTGAATATTTAAGAGTGTTTTAGCCAGTGAATATTTGAACTGCCAGCTGCTGTAGAGTAGGAGGGTAATGGGCGTGGCCAGCGAGACCACGCCCATTTTGCCTCGTTTCAGTGCTTTGTACCAGGCTAATTTTTCTCAGGAAATAGGATCTACCCCCAGTGCTGAGGAGAGGGGGTCAGGGGGGTCACTGACCCGGGGGCCCATGACTTCAGGGGCCCATAGATAAAAATTTAACTAAAGAATTAATAATTAGCATTTCAGCCACTCTACTATCAAAACCTGTTAATAATAGCAAAAATAATAGGAAAAGCCTTTAAATGAAATAGGGTAGAAGCAGCAACATTATTATAGCCCCATTATGTTTGTCAAACAGAGCTAGTAGCTTTAAGTAATTTTCTAGCTAGTTAACACAACAATTTCCAAATCTTTGTATTTGTGGTCAATGATGGAGCCATAGTCAAGTTTTTCAGAAATTTCGGTTTCTATAGAAAATTTGAGCGATATTTCAGCTGATGCTTATTTTCAAATGCTTAAACTTGTTCAACAGCTGCAATGGTCGATGCTTCTTAGAAAAAGTTACTCATCACTGATGTTAGGAGACATGTCATCTTTTTATGCTGCGCAGAATTCTGCACTTTTTTGCAAGGTCATTTTCTTTCAACATTGTGTAAAATCAAAAAATACTGAACCCCTCCCATACCTCGCCAATTGACTGAACCCTTCCCATGAGGAGGCATCTCCCATACCCCCCCCCCCCTTGATGGAACAGGACAAGCGTTCTTTTCGCGTTCTGCTAAGTGATTTGATTTTGCATATTGATGTGAAGATAATTGCCTTTGATGCATTTGAGAATCACTCAAGTGGAAACCACCATAATGCTTAAGTGGAGTGGGAAACAGATTACTGGCTTGTAGGCGAAAAGGCGTCAATTTAAAGACGATGTTTCATTATGTGAATTGGATAACCTATACCTAGTTTACGATAAATTAGGAATACTGTTGCTAGTTCATTTTCAAGCCTTTTCAGGTCATAGTCGATTTCATTCGATACAATGTTCTCATTACAAATTTAAGGGTTTAGTCGAGCCATTGACTATGGTCAAAGTAAAATTTTGATTTGTTGAACAAGGAGAAAGATTTCGTTTTGCAACAGCAAAGTGAAAACAACAAGACGATCATACATTGTTATGGGTTAACTCTCAAACATGAGTTTACTCTCAGGATAGACAGGCCCGGCTAGGTGCAAAGTTGCTTCAGTTATGATTCATTTGTTTTTAAATTTAAAATCGCATAAAAAGTTAAAATCATTAATAATATAAAGGTTTTTCCCAAAGATTGTCAAGGTCGAAAATAGATTGGTGTAGTAGAAAGCTGATCGAGCTTTTTTTCTAAGCTTTATTGAAAACTCCTTTAAAATGAAGTCATAGCTGCTTACTCCAAGGATGTCCAAGAATGAGATAAATATCGAGTCAAGGGCCTAGTCTCTCTTTTATGCTCCTGTTAAAGTGCACATTTTTATAGTTTCTCATTTGGTTCTTTTTCCGCGATAATACTAGGCACAATGACCTATAGAATGGTAGACTTTATCTTTGTTCACTTTTGCCCAGAAAAATTATTTTGTTTTGCAGAAAAGCGAAGTGGCTGTGCCCTCCCTCCCGACCCCGGGTTTCGCTTGCCCTATGAAAAAACTTTTAGCATAAATATCTGCACAATAATGATATCGAAGAAATTAAAACAGCTCCATTCTTGTTCCTTGAAGTTTAGAAGAATATAACAAATCTCGTTTTTTTTGTTTCTACCGAGCACCTGAAGGTAGTTCTTAGGATTCAGTGTTTTGTACCTTCCTCTCAATGTGACTATACCACGCGGTACCAGCATCTGGAATTACATTGAAATCGAAACTCATTTTGAGAGAAACTATGGCAAGGACTCGAACCCAGATCTTTCGATCTGTAGTCCGTTACCCCAACCATTGAGCTTTATTATCAGAAGGTATAAAACTGAATGGAGGGGAGAGTTGAAGATGTCAGAAGATGTGCATTTAGTACCAAAAATTTCGGTGGGAATATTTTTCGGCAAAATAGGACAACTGTCAACGAGATTTTTCAAATCGAGGTTCTTTAATGATGAAGCCCTGTATGCCAGGGCGAAATATTAGTATTCGTTAAATTTAATTTATTTTCAAAACTTAGCTCATAACATTGGATTCTCGTCGCCGTTTTGCTTGTTTCTGAATTTTATCCTCGTATTTACGTTATACTCACTGCAAGATTCACATAATCCGGCGGAGAATCTCCAAATTTAAAAAAAAGTGTCAAAGTTATCAGAGAATCTAAGGGATTCCTCTTGTTGAATTCGGTTTCATAATGCATGGCTGAAGGGAATCAAGAAATCTTCTTCACAGATTCTTCAACTACAGGCTCATTTTCACTTTCTTATACTCTTTCATCATCAACCAATTAGATCGTCGCTTTTGCTATATTCTCTTTCGCCTACTATTAGTGACGTAAAATAAGGTTGATCTACTTTGAATTTTCATATCTAAAGAATTTAAAAGCTGCTCCATGTTCGTTACCTAACTAACAAGTGAAAAGTTTTCGCAACAAATGTTTGTACAAGGCCAACAAGAGAGGGAGGTGACAGGGGTTAAATAGCCTGTGTTTAATTGCTACAGGAAATTGAGGTTTAAGGGGCCTCATAAAGTAATGAATTCCATTTTTAGGAATTGAACTGATCAAACGTGACAAAAGTATGCCAAAACTTTTTAAACAATTGCAAAAAATTACTGTAAGAAACATTCTGAAAACCTATTTCAAGGTAATCTTAAGGGCGTGGTCACATAAATTTTCATTCTCGCTTCGCTCGTTGAGGACCTCGTCTTTTTGTTTTCTCCCTGGACCACCAAAAACTTCTCGGTGGCCAACCTGTGGGTGTTGTCTCTTTCTGTGTGTGTAAATCTGTGTGTGAATCTTAGGTGTGAGGATGGCTCAGTTGTTAGAGGCGCTGACTACAGTCCCAAGGGTCTGTGGTTCGAGTCTCTGACATGATCAAACTTTCACCTAGAGTGAGGAGAGTTGCCAGCTCTTTGTAATTCCAGGCATAGGAATCACGAGGTGTGGTCACATCGAGAGGAAGAACCAGGACACTGCTCGATAAGCATAAGCTTCTCAGTGTCCTAAAAATTATCTTCGGATGCTTGGTAGAAACAAATACAAATAAAAAATCTGTGTGTATGTTTGTGAATGCTTATCGATGCAGAATTTGTGTAGTCCCTTATGATTAGCACAAATTTGTTACATCTCATCAGAAAAATTCAAGTTTTCTACAAACAGTTTTCTAGTTTGGTTCAATGTACAAAAATAAACATGTCTGGTGTTGTTTCTTTTTAGACTGACTGCTTTTATGACAACATTGCAAAGCTGGCATCATCTGACGCTCCACTGCATTCAAGACATGATGAAAAGCAAGGTCTGATTTCCAAAAATGTATCAAAAGCTAGCTACCTCGAAATCATGACTAACATCAAATCATCAGGAAAAACTTTTGCCTGCGGGTACACAAGGTGGGTTTTGTCACGAATACACTCCAGTTGAACTCATACACAAACTCCTTTTAAAATTTTTTTCAAACTTTTTGGAGCAGTTCCCATATTGCATATTGACTAAAAGCCACACAATGGTTTTCGTCGCTTTTGGAGAAAATGGGCCTACTTTGCATTGGTTCGTGTATTCCAAAATGGGCCACTTTGACACTTTCGCTTTTAACTGCTTGAACATTTTTCAAGATCTTTTCTAATTAATAATTCATATGCAAACAGTAGGTGCTGAAAAGATTGCTATAATAAACTTGAAGATACATGCAAATTCGTGAGCAAAATCTATACTATACTTTAACTATACCTTATCAAACATCACCTGCTTTGAAGATTAGAATAGAACAGTTTTAATTTGCTCCTCATAGACGGTCGAGTTTTTACCCTGAGTCTGACGTTTTAATTTGACATTCGATAACCAGTTAACTGTTGTTTCCGTATAGATATGAAATATAAGTGCTTCGATTAACAAGAACTCTAAATAAAGACAAGGCTGAAAACATACAAAATGATCAAACACTCGCATGCATTTGACATAGGTCTTAAACGTTTGTTGAAGTTTGTGGTTCAAGGAATTAATTTCTTCTCCAGGAAAGTTCAAGCCAGTATTTTTGCATGCTATTGAAGTTGCTTATAATGTGGTATTCCAAAGTTTCCCAGAGAGACTGAGTCTTAAAAAGTTAGAATTTTAACTCCTTCTTCTGTATTAATCCTTACCCATGTTTGCAAAGATCGTTGTTAGATTTCCTAAGTTTCAAGCTCCAGATTTACGCTGGTGTTAAATCATATTGTTATCATAGCTAACCGAATCAACACAATGTTTTGTATTTATATTCTATTAATTTTCTGTTCTTCTTGCAACCTTGATGAATTCCAGGGGCTGGATCGCAGAAATTCTCGAAGGCCTGTCCTCGCAGTACGACGAATTCAAAGTGAGGAGCCAAAGTGGTTCGCTTGCCGCAGGCTATCTGAACGTAACAGGAAACAAGGTCATCGACTTCTTCAATTCGAACCTCAACTCGCCCAACCGAATACTGTACAAGTTCCAGATCGTTGGTCCATTGGACCACGTGTGGATGGTGGAGCAGTTGGCAGTGGGTGGAGGGTACAGGGTCTACCAAAGTTACAACAATGCATATTCTCTCAAAGCCTGGCTCGCAAAGAGCAACTTGAAAGCACTGCATGGGACGGACATCATCATCTGGCATGACGTAATCAGAATGGCCGACGATTTTCTTAAGAAATATGGCGCATCAATGTCGAATCTTGACAACTTGCCAGTAGCATTGCTGGGCATGAAGCCATGGTTGGTTCACATTCGCGACTACAATTTGACACAAGTTGAAAGCGAATTTCGCAAAGCCTGGTCTGTTGTTGGTCAAGGTCGTATTATGAGCAAGGATTACTTCTACAAGAACTACTTGCAAGTATTGGCAAACTTGACTGAGGCCATAATCCCTTTTGTGAGCACCACGAAACTATGGACACGGGAGTTGCATGACAAATGGACGTCAATATTTGGAGCACCGAACCCAGTTCTATACCCAGGGTACCCATTCAATACACTGACAGCTCAGTTCAGTCAAAATTATGCACTTGAAGTGAGAGCGTTGGCGATAAACTCAACAGCGGAGGCCCAGTGTCAGGCAAATGCTAATATTCTCGCTGCTAGTTTGGTATGTCTTAAAATCATATATTATATATTATCATATCATAGATATAGGTTGACGGCTTGTTTGTTGAAAAGCAAAATTGAGAGCAATAACAATAGGAATCATCTTCCGTCAAAAAGCTTTGTTCATTGATGGATGTTACTCGTCTCTATACGTACAGCCTCGATTTCTGCATTCATAAAACCCAACGCTATTATAAATAGAGTTAATTATCGTTGATCCCATGGTCACCCTTTTGCTACGGTAAACCTTCATGTGCTGACAGTTTTGCTCTATAATTAGAGACAAACATTGCGATATCAGTAGTTTGTTCAAATCAATCTAAAAATGCCTTTACCTTGCAAGAAGCAGAGGTATTTAATAAATTTATAGAGAAAATGAAGAGTAAAAATTTAATTTTAAGATTTAAGACTTTTTCTAAAAACTTAAACTTTGAATTTCAATATTTTATCTTCTTCGTGTTTATAAAAAGGTCCTTTCTTGATAACAGCACGTTGCTGCTGAACAAAGTTAACCTTTATAAATATCATATTGTTATAGCTAATTAAGTGATTCACAGACACCTAGATGTCAATTGGTCGGGGTAATATAGGAAGGAGCAGTCAGCAACAAGCTGACAAAGGTCCCATTCTGTCATCTGAAGTTATTTACATAGACAATGTCTGTCTCAAAATCCTGGCTTTTCCTAGCAGTGCTGTCTTTTGTATCACCTGTAACTTTACATCAATTCCGATCCTTTCCATGTGCTCTTCAAAACAATATGATATAAATCCTAATGCCCCAATCACAACAGGGATGACTGTCACCTTCTTCATATTCCACAGATTTCCGATTTGCTCCTTTAATGGTTGATATTTCTCAATTTTTTCTTGTTTTTTACCTTTTACCCTATTATCACCAGAAATGGCAATATCGATTATCTTCACATCCTTTTTTTTGTCAACAACAACAATGTCTGGCCTTCTAGCTTCAACAACCCTATCACATTGAATCATAAAATCCCATAGTAGCTTAAACTTGTGATTCTCTAAAGCCCCTTCGGGTTTCTGTTCATACCATTTTCTGGCTCTTTCAAATCCGCACTTTTCCACTAACAACCAATGAATATACCCTGCCACATTGTCAAGTCGTCTTTTATATTCTGTTTGTGCCAGTTTAGCACATTCGCGCACCAGATGACTAACTGTTTCCCCCTTGTCACCGCACATTCTACATAAAGGCGTATCACTTGTTTTATCAATGAAGTTCTTGGTATAATTAGTGCGCAGCGCCTGCTTTTTATCATTTTTATATTATTATATTATTATTATTATTATTATTATTATTATTATTATTATTATTATTATACTAAGAACAGGTGAAGTGCGAACAGGTTGCGACGGTGTTAGACCACGAAAATAATAATTAATGTTACCTTGTTTGTCTTCTTGCCATTTGTGTCTCTCCTATTGATGTTGTCAATGACTCTCACTGCTTCTCAACTGCAATTGTAGACTGACTGTTTCTTCGACACTATCAAGAAGCTATCCAACTTCGATGCTTTGCTGAATTCACGTCTAGATGAAAAGTACAATCTCATCAATGCTGGAACCAACAAAGAAAATTGGCTTAGAATCATGCGAAGCATCAAATCGTCAGGCAAAGCCTTCGCGTGTGGCTTTACAAGGTACTACTGTATTTTTATTGCACATGTGTACAGTTTCAATTTACGTGTGTTTTTTGGTATTCATGCAGAAAGAAACATGAGACTAAAACTAATCAAAATTTGAAACTAGCTCTTCCACATTAAGACCCCTAGGTGTGCATGCAATTGAAATAACACTATTATACCAATGCCACTTGCTACAAGGATGATAAACGTGCACAACAGCGGTAGCCTGTGAAATTTACACAAGGCTCTTAATTGCCACCACTTCTATTCATCCTTGAAGGAGCGGGGGGAGGGGAGTGTGAATAGAGTTTTCAATGCACAAATATACATTCCCCTTATATTCATAATACAATAACATCTATTAGAGTGATGGTTCTAAGAAACTAAGAATAACAAGCTTGGTAAAATGAAGACTAGGACTCATAAGTCGACTGATAATCAGAGGAGAGAGCAGCTACATGATGATTGCCCCCTCTTAGACGATAGCTGCCTCATTTCAGTCAGACTAGACCGTTATTAAATATGGCAAACTAAAGCTGGTAGCGTCTGTTTGTCTAATGGCAAATTTTCTTATTTCTTTTAACATAAAATGCTCTTGCCAATAGGAGCTGGATAACAGAAATTCTACAGGGATTACCTCAGCAGTATTCTGAATTGGTAAGCAGAAATAACAGCGGGACAACGGCAGCTGGCTTTGTCAATGTGACTGGAGCCAAAGTTATCGATCTGTTTCAAAGAAATGTTGGATCAATAGAGAGGATTTTGTACAAGTTCCAGATTATGGGACCTCTAGACCACGTGTGGCTTGTTGAACAATTACCTTTTGGTGGTGGATACAGAGTTTATCAAAGCTACAACAATGCATATTCTCTGAAGGTAAAGTGCTAACACGATTTGTTAAGATAAACTTAAGCTTGTTTGCTTCACTTTTAAAACAAAAGTGTATATTGAAAGCTATTCAAATAATGTTCATATCAAGCCTTCACTGGCTCATAGTATATTTTTTATTATATGATAGGTTGAAATATCAAAAGTACTTGCTTCTTGACAGACCATCCCCACAAACAAGAAATAACGGGGGTGTAACCTCAAATGAAACCATCTCTCAACGAGAATGCATGGTTTTTGATAAAAACACTCAACAAACAGTCAACAAAAAGTTCTCCTGCGGACACGAATCGAGAGAGGCCATGCATCACAAAATTGTGTTCTTGATCAACAGTTTCAAAAACATCGGGGTGTGTGACGTCACCTTACTCCCCATCATCTTCACCCATATTCACAATTACAGAATATTGGGAATGAAACATTCAGTTTATCTTGTTCATGGTAAATCAGCCATGTTCTTATTTGCTGACCATACAAACAAATACTTGATGTTCACCTTTACATTGGCAATTATAATCGTTCCTGATGTCAAACAAATTGGGAATGATTTTATAACATTTGGTCACAAAATATTTGTTTAAGATACGACAAAATTGAAAAGTTTACAATTTGCCGTAAATTAAGGGCCTTGGGCTCAATTAAGCCCCTTGTCCGAAAAAGCGCCAATCCTATCAGCTTGAATATTAAATAAACGCCCAGGGCGCTTAACCGGTCATTTACGGTTTACACTAAATTCCTTGATTTGATACAGAAGGACAAATTTTTCTGTTTTTATGTACGAAGAATGAGTACATGAAGGGGGGATTTTGCTCGGCTCGATGGGCATCCATATATATATATATATATATATATATATATATGTAGAATTGTTGCCAATTGTGTAACAATGGATCGGCATTTTGATGAGTTCAACAATGGAAACATAGAAGCCGAATTCAAAGGCGGGAGACAATCGAAACAATGCAGGCATACAATGCCAAAATCAAAGGATTTTCCCAATTTTCCCAAACGAACAATCGAGAATCGTGAGTTTCCCGATTAAGTGGGCAATTGAGGTTCGCTAATCGACACTTAGGTCTATAATCGTGCTATTAAATTGGGTTCGGCTGCTAGCCTGAGATCCCCTTTGTGGTCATCCTCTTAGATTCGACCAATCACCTTTAGATTTGCACGTGACGTTGTGCAGTTAAAATTGGTTCTGCACGTGCATGTTGAACGGTAGCCAGAATAGATCAGAAAGTTCTCGTAATCGAGAGTGGTGCTTTCATCTTGTCAAGCGTCAACGTAATTAGACGTATAATTTGCAATTTGCTATGTAGGATACAAAAAAAGTGCAGGAATATGCGATTTCACGAGTTTCTGCAAGAATTAACTTTCATGCATGAGTCGTGGAAAATATATTGCAAGTGTTTCAAATCTGTTTAGTTTTTCGCAAGTTTTGCAAAGTCGGTGAAAGTTATTCGAAGATTTCCAGGCTTTGCGAAATTGTCACAAAATGCTTGCAGGGGTTTCCAATTTTCTCTGGGGTTGATCCAAAATTCATTCGAAATTTTTCAGACCCCATATTTTTTTTAAAGAAAGGGTCAATATGTTGGATAAGATAGTTTGGTGCAGGAATAACGTAAAAAAAAATAGAAATTTGGATCGTGTGAGGTCAGACCAACAGTTACGGGAATAATCAATTAATAATCTTGGGATCTGTGACTACATTTCTTCATCAAATAGTTGAATTGCCGAGTTGAAGAAATCTTTGCACTCGCAACTAGGAAGTTTACGAAATTAAAAGTTTTGCTGCTCACAATTACGTTCGAAAGATTCCCCTTCGTAATCAAGTAATTGCACTGCCGCGAGATCATTATGCTGGAACCGTTTTGTCAGCGCGAGTCGTTAGGGATCGTTAGGCACGCATCGATTTCTCCTTCTTGCAAAGGTTGATAGTGGAGTTCAAGGATCTGGGTTTGGTAAACTTACTGCGTCATAGCATTCCCCGCTGTTTATCAAGAAAGTGTAAATCTGCGAAACGCATTTTGATAAAGCAACCGAATAAGAATAATTATTCCTGTTATGTTATCAAGCAAAAAATGTCCTTCGTCAAATAAAAAAACAGATTCCCAGTTAGGTTCCACTCACAGAGCCCCAATAAATGAGTTCTGTAATCTTGGCGAGTCATAGCTTGTGCCACCGTTTTTTAGGTATTTTAAGTCTGTGAATCGCAATCTCATAGAGCATAAAGGCTCTTAGTTGTCTGGGAAACAGACTGGAAGCGCATCTAGAAAAGTTCAGACTTTTAATACATTTGGAATCTTCGTTGTCGTAATCATTGTCATCGTCGTCATCATAATCATCATCATCAATTATCATCATCATCATAATCATCAATCATCATCATTATCATCATAATCATCATCATAATCATTATAATCATCCTCATCAATCATGATCGTCATCATCATCATCAATCATCATCATCATCATCATCATCATCAATCATCATCATCATCATCATCATCATTATCGTCATCATCATCATCATCATCATTATCGTCATCATCATCATCATCATCATCATCAGTTTTGTCCACTTCGCCAATTCATAATATCGAAGTACCATTCCTCCACATTCTTCGTACATTGCAAAAGCCGTGCTATTTTTATAAAAGTGTTGGCCGTGTTTTTACCTTTGCATTAATCATTTGGCTAAAATCAAGGGTGCAAATTGCATATATCAATACATGTTGCACTATGAGTAACGCCACAATTCATTTGGAGACTTTGAGGCAAGAGAAAGGTTTAGCTCTTTTGCAGGTGTTATGGAAATTACACCCTAGCAAGCATCTTGCAAAACGTTCTCCAGTTCGTATTAGAGGTGCGAGGATGGCTCAGTTGTTAGAGGCGCTGATTACAGACCCAAGGGTCCGTGGTCCGAGTCCCTGGCATGACCAAACTTTCACCCAAAGTGGGGAGAGTCGCCAGCTCTCTGTAATTCCATAATTCCAGGCACAGGAATCACGAGGTGTGGTCACATCGAGAGGAAGGACCAGGACACTGCTCGATAAGCATAAGCTTCTCAGTGTCCTAAAAACTACCTTCGGATGCTAGGTAGAAACAAATAAAAAAAACAAATGTATAACATTGCTTGTCGGATGCACCTTAAGGATCTGGTTTACTCCTGTTTATCATTTACATAAAACTGCGTTCCACAAAACTGTTTTGTACAGGGAATCTTTTAGTATATAAGGCTAAAAAGCATTTGTATGCATATATATTTTCTTTAGCGTAATGCCCTGCTGACAGAGTTGCTTACTCAATGTGTGTGAAACTGTGAATTGATAAGTCAGTTGATTCTCGACCTACAACACTTTAGTTTTTCTCAAGTCATTTAAACATAATTGTTAAAATTTTAAATTACATATTTTTAAATATAATTTTAATTACAAATATACACTTACAAACATATTTTGTAATTATGGTAAATATCTGCTAACTTGAAGGGACTTCCATGCCTACAAAATTTCTGGTTGGAAGATCTGGTTGATATGATGTTATGAAAAAGATATGATGTCTTGATTATATATTGCATTTTTGGGCATTGTTTTTCATCAGGCTTGGCTTGCTACTGGAGACTTGAAGCCAATGTTTGGCAGTGATGTTATTGTATGGCATGATGTTGTGAAAATGGCAGCAAACTTTCTAAAGGCCCACGGCGGATCAATGAACGACTTAGATAACCTGCCAGCGTCTGTTTGTGCAATGAAACCATGGCTTGTCTTCATTCGTGATTATAACATGACCCAAATTGAAACAAATCTCAAACTTGCAGCGAGTAAATTTGGTCAAGGAAAGATTTGGCAGCAAGATTTTTTCTTCAAGAATTACGTGTATGTACTTGGTAATTTGACGGAGGCAATAATACCGTTAGTGAGTACAAAAAAAACGTGGACCCAGGCCTTGCACGACAAGTGGATTTCATTGTTTGGCTCACCGAATCCAGTTCTCTATCCCGGGTTCCCGTTCAATCAACTCACAGCAACTTTTAGCCAGAAATACGCCCTTGAAGTCAAGGTTTTGAAAATCAACCCCTCTAAAACTGTCGATGAAAGTAAAATGGCTGAAGGAAATTGTCCTGCAAATGGAGCCATTCTTGAGAAAAGTTTGGTACGTAAAGCATGTTTTAAATCTTTCTTTTCAACTCGCTCTGAAGTTATTTTAGGTTTTTACTTACTTTAACTACAACGTGTTGCTATTTTGCCAATTCAAGCACTGTCTTCCTTGAAACGACTTCAACTTAATCCATTATGTTTGAAGGAATGAAAGCGAATGAAACTTTGTGAGTAGCCATAGAATCTGTATTCAAAATACTCTGTCCTCTGGGATCTGAATCTCTTGAAATCCTCCCCACGTGCGACAGGGATTCAAACTATCATTCGGACTAAACATAACAATAACCCTACATCCACTTCGGTGCAGCTTTGATTACGAACGCCCTTCTAATGAATTCATCAATTTATTTGTTAGGGGACGAGTAGTTTATTGAGTTATCTCTGCACAAAATTTGTTCTTGATTTGAATTTGAGCAGCATATTAGCTCAATTGTTGTTAGGTAGTTTAGTAGTCAATTTTATTTAAAGAACTTGATTCTTTGTGGTGTTCTGTGGCTCTGTGCATTGTCCTTATATAGAAAAAAATACCACCAAATGTACTTATCTCCACTTGGTTTGGCCTATAAAGTTTGTTTAAAATTGTCTCTAATACATGCAATTGATCTTTAATGCATTGAATAAAATGCTTGTTGCATATCTTTTGTTTTCTAGTTTGGCCTATTTAGTTCATTTAAAATACAAAATGATCAGTTTTGCCTTGAATGCAATAGATAGAAAAGCAGGTTATCATTATTGCAAATCCTTTGCTTTCTAGCACTGTTTCTTTGACGGTGTCAAGGAGTTTCTGAAGTTTGAGAAGAAATTGGGCACAAGGCTTCAAAAAATGCTGGAGACAATAAGGGCAGGTACAAATCAAAGTGAATTTGTCAGAATCATGAGGGATTACAAAGCATCTTCAACTGCTGCTGTTGCCACTGGGCATCCAAAGTATGGCTATTTTGATTTTTACATTGTTCCTTGTTCAACGCTGTCCTACTTAAGGAATTAAGTACTGAAATAGTACGTCTAGAAATTTTAGCCTCATTTAAGTTATTTTGAGTTTATGAGACAGGGTTGTCATACGTGAGTTTCCCTGGAGGGGGAGTGTTGTTGTAGGTTACGGAATTCGCTGGTAATTTTGGCGTGACAAGTTTGGTCTTAGAATTAATTGATTTTTGGATGGAAGTTTGCTAAATTTGCTGAGGACATCAGCAGTTTGCCGACAGACCCTTGTTCACGTGTATGCGATGCTCTGTGCCTCCCTATCACGTCGGTACTTAGGCGAAAACTTATTAAAAACCCATGTCATTTAAAAAAGATACGTGTTTGTTATTCCTCTACAATTTCGGGTGACAGAAAAATTATTTTTGAACAAAAATAAAGAGGTTGTGGAGCAAACCTTCTTAAATCCCATACACTTTGATGTTGTTGATCAGACTCATCTAGAAACGCATCTTAAAAATAAATGAAAATATCATATCTTTAATCAAAGGTTAATGCAGTATCAGAATTGATATAAATAATTACATACAGTGTCTTTTCTGCTAATATGTGCTTCTTTTTTTCAAGTTATTGGATTAGCGAAATTCTCACTGGCTTGTCTAATCAGTTCAATGAGTTATCTGCAAAGGGTAATGGAGTTTTCAACGTGTCCAGCAATCAACTTTTGGAGATCTTTCAAAACAACAGTGCTTTACCAGGAAGAGTTTTGTACAGCTTTTCATTGGATTGGCAACAGCAAGTTTTTTGGGTAGTTGAGCAGCTTTCGTTCGGCAGAGGTTATCGTGTTTACCAGAGCAACCAAGATGCGTTTACACACAATGCATGGCTACAGCCTAATGACATTTCACCTCTGGGGTCAAGCGACCTCTTCACCTGGAGCCGTGTACGGTCACAAGCTAATGGTTTCCTTCAAAGGTACGGCGCTTCCTTGTCGAATCTCGCTAACGTTCCCGCATCATTAAAGCCATGGATGGTCTCTATTCGCGACCAAAATATGACCCAAGTCAATGAAACTTTCAGAAAGTCTTGGTCTTCCTTTGGCAAGGGAAAAATTTTGTCTAAAGCCTGGTTTTTTGAGCATTACCTTACACCACTGTCGAAACTGAACACCGCTTTGAGCTCACTTGCTGGAACGAGTAAAACCTGGACCCCCGAACTGCAAAAAGAGTGGTCTGTGTTGTTTGGCAGCCAAAATCCATGGATGTACCCTGGTGTACCTGTTGATACGTACAATGGCAGCACACTAAGACGCGACCCTTTGCAGCTTAGTGTATTAAAGATCAGTGCACAGGCAGAGGCAAATTGTCCCTCGAATGTTGCGCTCATCCGGCGTTCCACAGAGCTCCTGCGAACTACACGAAGACCCACCACAGTCCGAGTGGGTGTTACCACCAAGGGAAATCCTGGTGGCACTGCTGCAGGCCATAACCCGGTTTTTATGCTTGTTGCATTGTCTACTTTGCTGACGGCACTCTCCATTTTGTGAAGTAACTATTAAGAATAACTAGTATAAACACAGCACTTTTACATCGCACTACATGAACAAAAACGCTTTTCAAACTATTTCGACACCGGCAATTTTTATCGCTGATCTTTTTACTAATGCAAAGATTGCTTGACTGGATATCAAGTGCTGTTCGGATTTGACGTGAGGATTTGATGTAAGATGATATGATGTTCTATATTGCTTTAAAATGTCTTTTGTTTTTGAAGCATTTTCCAGATCTGCCAAATTTCCTATTCCTTTTTTATATAGCAGTCAAGTTTGCAAGGAACGAACAAACATATAACGGTCTCTTGAATGCCGGTTCCCACTTAAGCAAAATCTTCAGCGAATTTATCAGCGATTGGAATTTTATTCTTTCCCTGCATGGGCGAATTCGCTGGCGAAGTGTGAAAGTTGAGAGGAGTTCATATTCCCAGCCAAAAACAACTTCCCTCTGAATGGAAAAACGCTCGGCAAATTCACTGAAGAGTTTGCTCAAGTGGAAATCGGCCTTAATAGAGAGGCAAGTTGAGCAGAATGGGGCAGGCCACAAGTAGAGATAGTCCTGTATTTAACGTTTTGCTTCTGATAAGCAATGCTAAATATTGCCTCAATGTGGTATTAATGTTCAATAGACATATTTCAATATTGGATGGGCTTTGCATATAACTTCAAATGACATAAAAAGGTCGCATATGTTATCTTTTTAGGCAGCATGTTTTTGTTTTTCCCCGAATGTAAGTTTTAAAATTCTATATAGCGATATGCTGATCGAATCCAATTTATTGGATTTGCTATTAAAACCAACAGAGCTTCACCTATCTGAAATTGCGATGTTAATACGATATTCTTACATAGGACTGTTTGACGTCTATTTTTCTAGTTATGCATTTTCAAACGGATTGGGTATGTGATTCTTCAATCAATCAGTGTACTAAGCAGAGACCCACGTATTATTTTTCTATGCACAAATTGCCGGATCTTGAGCCTATAGCATGATACACTGTTCTGAAAAAAAATCCCCTCTAGCCTTTATTCTGTTAACTTAGCTCGACATAAGGGACTCTGGGCCAATCACAATCGAAAGCAAATCCTGGTATTTGTCACATGCTAGGACATATTGCTTATCAAATGGCCGAAAGCTATATTCTCTGGCATTCATTTTTTACAGCCAGTATAACGAAGCATTCAGTCATATGCTAACCCAGGACCACTGATCTGTGCCCAGGACTGGAACGCATGACCAGCTACAATTTCTGTTTTAGCCTCTGTTGTAACCATTGGTTGTAAAGTCCGTCAAGTGAGGCAGTAGCTAAACAGAGGCTCTACTTACAACTTTACGTTGAGTTGAATTAAAAACTCACTGTTCAAAAATAGCAGGGTTGCGTGCTGGCAAAAAACCAAACGGCCGCTAAGGCGTTTAGCTAAGTAATCTGTAATAAAAAAAATCTGAAAATGCCACATAAAATATGCATAAAATATGGGTGAAGTGGGATGCAAAAAGAACACCATCATCAAATTTCGCTAAAACTTTCAGTCTCATAAGTTAAGATTTCATTATATCTACACTTGGAATAAATACAAGACATTAAACGACTACCATTACACGTTTCGTAATGTCAAAATAAATACACATCTAATAAAACATCCTAATGAGGATTTTTATGGACCAGATATCACGTCTGACGATGATATCAAACAAAAAAATAAATTATGTAGGAGAGATTTTCTTGGGAGCATTGTAGCCTAATATATAGTCTTGGCAGACAGCGAGAACAGTGTCGAATTGAAATTTCGATTGGCATCGGGTTTGAAGCTGCAATCAGGTTTGGCATCAAGTTTGAAGCTGCAATCAGGTTTGAAGACCGAAAATAAAAGCAGCTTTAAATTACTTTAAGAATTCAAACTTTTGTTTACTAAAACAGATAACATTTTCAAGTTTTTCGCCTTTGCTAGAGAGAAGAGAGCTTGAGCTGAGTTTCAGCCCGACAGCTATAAAATCTTTGTTTCAGGTCTACTCATTTACACGGATAATCACGCTTCGGGCGAGTTCAGGCCGGTCTAACGGGTTGAACAGTTGTTCCAGGATATAGCAGTCATGTAAATGGGCGGTTGAGATTTTTTCGCTAGTTTACTTAGCTAATGAAGAAAAAGCATAAATATATCATTAAAGATAAAGGTAATCAAGCTCTAAAAAAGGAAAAAATATGACCATCGTGTTCATAGAGATCCTTGAAAAAAAAACGACGGTGCTTGTAAAGGAACATTGATAAGGTAAAAGAATTTACAAAACCCAGATTGAGATGCGGTTTAAGGAGAAGGGCTATTTTTGCTTTATCGACAGAGTTACAGCTAAGTGAAGTCAGCGGAAGAAACCAAAAATGGCAATTTGCTGTAAAACACCTCAACCTGAAAAGGGTTGGTGTTTGTTGGCTTGTTCTGACCAGCGGATAAATGTGAACAAACTTGCAAATGTAAATGTTTGGTTTTCACTTGAAAATATATAAACAGATCGTTCCTTTTAAATCTTGCTCGAATGAACATGCAGGAAGAAAATTGGAATAAATAAAATTGAATGATACAATAAAAAGTTTTGAGGATGACTTGCTACACTGAAAGGAACTGAGTTTATAAAGTGATCAGCGTAAAGGGGGCTCACGCAACAGATTAAAAGCTTTCAAAGGTTTATAATAATATAATATTTTCAAATAATACTATAATAATACCTTTTTTTGCTTTGTCTGGTTACCACTGATAACAGTAGAAATAAATAATGTTTTACTTTATCAAAGATAAAACAAGTAAAATTTTTTTGCCGTTTCGAGGAATCCGACTACATAATTATGTTCAACAACTTTTTTAAGTATAAGATCCGTTCTAAGGAATGTCGTTGTTTAATATATTTGCTCTCAATAAAATAATAAAATAATAAAATAACAATAATAGTAATAATGATAATAAAACTCAATAATTCTTTTACTTTTCTCTGTTAAGACAACTGATATTTGTTTGTACCGTTATCTTTCAAACAGACGAGAGCTTTACGAGAGCATGGCGAAGATTCTTTGCCATTTGTTGCTGCCTTCGAATACTGTCATTCATCTGGCCTCTTTTTTCACGAAGCATCTGTTGGTTAAAATGATAGACAAATTTAGAGTACATCATAAATTACAATGCAGAAATGCAAAAGGCTAGAAATGTGGGGTAAACCAAGGTTAGAGCAATTTTTAAGTCAGCGGAAGACTTTGAAACTAGAACTGGAAATTTGCTACGAACACTCTTCAAATTGGAACGGGTTGGTATTAGTTGCATTGTTCTTTGGAGGGGGTAGAGGGGAGGGGGAGGGGGGGTTGAGGTTGATTGGTGGATTGATAACTCGAATCCAAGAGATTTCCCAATCCTTAAAAAGGGGGGCCAGACATGCAAAAGTTGCTTTCAGATTACATTTCGGAAATCGTACTACCAATGGACTATCTCAAATAGGCATACAGTTCTTCTATCACAAAAGCGCATTCTGCCACTGGTGTTGAAAATAAAATGAAATGTAAAATTTCTCACCATAATGTCTTTTTGGTATTGCTGTCTCTGTTGGTTCAACTTTTCACGTTCATATTGTAATTTGTCGCATGTATTTCGTACCAAATTTTCCTTCACCTCTCGTTCTAGGATGAAAAAAATTCAACTTCAGGCTTTTGTCTTCTGTCATAAAACGTTAAGCAAGATGTGCGATAGATAAGCCATCTTTTACAGTATTGTTGCTAAAAGAAGCCAACATTAATGTTGCACGTAAAGCTAAACTCGCATTAGACGCGTCACGATGCGTCGCGTCACAATAGGTAGTTTGGTGTTGCGTCAAAAACGCATTGGAGTCTTCGCATCTAATGCGTCATCATGCGCTTGTTTTAAGCCCAATCTCCAGTGAGAAAAAATACTGCGAAATGCGAAAAAGTTCGCGCGAAATACGTCTTAGGCATGCGCATTAATCTTTTGCTGGGATTTCTCGCGAAGAATTTCTCTGCGAAAAAAAGTTAAAATGAGTTTAACTTTTTTCGCTTTTCGCTTGCGAAATCCTTCAACAGCCAATCATATTCCGTATCCCTTTGTCACGCTTCCAAACTTTACATTCCAATGTCGTGAGGTCAACAAAAGCATTCAAAGGCATTTGTCGCGTGAAGTATTTCGCAGCGAAATTTCGCAAGACTTTTTCTCACTGGAGATTGGGCTTTAGCCTTGCAAACTCGGTTTATTGCTGCTATTTTACTGGCAACCTCGAAGACCCTATCGCATCTAGTGTTAATTCATCTTAAGAGCTAAAAATTGATTGTCTTGCGGGTTTGGCTATTCTGTCTTCACGAGGATTTGGGCCGAAATGCTCCCTGGCCACGATTCAACATCTCACAGCAACAAATAAATAAATAATTAATTTCTCTAGCAAATGAACGATGATACTGGCAGTCTTACCGTTTTCGTATCTAATGAAAGATCTGGCAACACAGTCAATCCCTGACCACTGTGGTTTAACGGCCGAAACATCCAGCTGCGGAAAGAAAAACCAAAACCGATAATTATGAAATTGTAGCACATATTTGCCTAATAATAAAAACCTTTAATTTTAGGATAGGAAAAAACCAGGGTATACAAAAAACATGAAAATGAGAAAAATGTTTCGAATTTTCACAACCAGCTTCCCAACCTCACTTAATACTTTAGTTGACAAAAATGTCTTTAAGGAAAATCTGTAAATTTAGTCATAGTATTGTAAACTTGCAAAGAATATTACAAAAATGTCAAAGTAAATTATTAAACAATTATTTCGCAATTTAGATTTGTCTGTCGACGCAAATGTTATAAGGATGCTTTGGAATTCCAGTTCTTGGGTGATTTCGAGGTAGTTTTAGGGAACCCGAAGTAATCCTTGTAAAGCATCGCCCTTGTCTTTTACCTCGAGATGATAATGGCTTGTGACTTTCACAATTAGAAAAATGGCATCTGCACAACCTTTCTCATTTTCATGGCAAAATTCTTGTCACAGTATGAATTCAAATTCGAAATGAACAGCACGAGTCACAGACATTGAGCTACTTAATGCTACAATACTTCATGTAAAGAACTTGGGAAGAGCCTCAAGTGTGACAAAACAGCAAGAATAGTATTGACACAACTTACCTGAGGCAAACCAAATACAAAGCTATCGAGTTCTTGGCAATCCCTAACTGACGAAAGCTCATCGAATTTCCCGAAATTTCTAGTTCCATTGACCAACTCCTTACTGCTGTCTCCGTCTTTATACGGTTTAAAGCTCTGAGATTTGCCAAAGCTCGCTCTATCCTCGTCATGTCTCTTGCTGCGTGGCACTGTAGTAAAAGACGGTTCTCCAATCGAATTTGGCGTTGTACTTGTAACAGAGCTGTTTGTTGGGCTTGATGAGTTGGAACTCAAGAAATTCTTACTATCTAAACTGCCATTTGCATCCTTGACGCCATTTCTTTCCATATTGTTTTTCTGGACTTGTTCTAATAGCATTTCTTGTTCTTGAAGGAGCTGCTGTTTGTGCCTCGTCATTGGCCCGTTGTAGAAGTCGATCTCCGAGCATGGTCTACCATCACTGTCATCAGTCTGCTAAAATGGAAATTTATTAGAATTACTATTAATGTTAGATATTACAATACTTTATTACTATAAGATATTAATCAAGCAGGATCATTAAGGAGAGATCTAGCTATGGAATGGCTGACGCTACTGGAAGCTGCCCGTTTCTTAACAAGAGTCCAATTAAAAATAGAAACTTAGACTAAAATGAAGAGATTTCATGGACTTGTTATGAAAACAGGCCTGGTTAAAAAGAACAAAAATTAAAGTTTTTGTAGTTTGTGTTGAAAAGGAAACGACAGTTAATGCGAAGAACAGGGTTCTTGTGAGTGATAAAATAATGTTGAAATTAAACACTGCTTATAAGATGACGAGAACAAGGCGTGTCCCCATTTAGGAAAACAGTGACAATAAGGGGAAAGGTATTTTCTAGAAAAATGGTTACAAGTGATCTCACTTTTTATATTGCTAGAATCTAGGCACCGTTAATTTTTAAAACGAAATAATCTCTTAAGCATTTATTCATCTCTTCAAACAAAAATATCAATAGAAACATATAAAATCCTAAATATAGTAAAAGAAGCGATACCTCTCGCCGGGTTCTCTTTCTCGGTCTTCCACGCATCTTTGCAACCTTTCTTTCCCAACGTTTCCGCTCAAAATCCTCTTCCAGGACTGAAATAAAAGATTAAATTCGTTTATAAAAATCAAAGATGTAAAAATGCAGGGGAATTTTTTCAATGAGTTATTAACAGTATACAAGGAAAAAAGGTCTCAGTTCTGAACACCCGCTGAGAGAATCTACATTTAAGAATATAGCAAATACTAAAGATCCTTAGCAAAACAAAAATTAGCTTTAAAAATCAGGATAGGACATATGTGATTTATAGCACAAAAATTGATCGATCTTAAGATTGCATCTCAAAATAATATGCTGCGAGTAAATACAATTTGTGAGAAGTCTTATCCATCGTTACTTGTATAGAATAGCACAATTTCAGGGAAAAAGTAAACGGTGTATGTGCAACTTGAACAAAATAAAATGAAGGCGCAGACATAAACTAACCTCTCTTTTTCCCATGAGAAATTAGACCAATGCATGACATGAAATCAGCTTTCTAAAGGAAATAATTGGGTTAATGCAATAATTTCATGTTCGGAATGGAAAGACAAATGGCGTGTAAAAGATCATGTAGCGGCGTATGTGATAGTGAATACAGGCTGAAAAACAATGCCTTGCTGTACTGATGGCACAATTGGCGAATTCTTGACGGAGAAAAAATCAAAGAGAAGCATTACCGATGGAGACGATTTCATCAATATAAATATCTAGTCCTATGAATGTTTGAAAATCAAGTCCTCATTAAAGGTAATCGACCAAAATTGAAGTGTCTTTGTTTTAAGCGGAATTTTATCTTCAATTACAACCGTTAAAGGCAAATGAAAGATATGGAAGTCATATGTCAATCAATGATTTGCCAATCAATAACCGTGATACCACTCAGACGCTTATCAATTGGCCAATTCCTGAATGACAGATGACTTCCATATCTGTCAATTGTCTCATACAGTTGTAATTAAAGAGAAAATTCCACTCAAAATATATACGAACGAAAGCAGCATGACAAGAGTATACTAAACCTGACATCAGTTCGTTGAAGCTAACAGCAAACATGCTTAAATAATTTTATAAGAGGACATATTTTATAATGTTTCTTAGTTATGTGCATTAAATGAATTTTTTAAAATGTTTATGAACTTGAGTTAACATCAATTTACATCAGAATTCAAGATACCTTTTCCATGTCTTCCGTTGCTACATCCATAACATCGCTCGAATCTTCTGCAAACATGTGATCCTCGTCGTGCTCCATCTTGTCTTGGGGCAACGCTTCGACGACAAAGTCTTCAGCAAGTTCTGTCACAGGCTCCTCCTTGACTACAATTGTATTCATTTGTGGTCCTGAAAAGATCACCACTTAAAAAGATACTTTCACTTTTTAAACATAACTTATACTGTGTATATATATTTCATAGCGTAGAGTTTTCGATCTATGTTCTGATGTTTTAAGCTCTGAAGAGTGTCAGACGAAATGCTTTAGTCAACTCAAATGTTTGCTTTTTCATAGCCAATTTCAGTTTATTGAGCCTCGGTGAATTGCAATAATCAAAAACCGCTTACATACAATGAAGAACACAGTCTTCAATTAAAACTTGATTTGGTTACAAAGTAAAACAATAGAATGAGGCTTGTCATAAAGAAACAGGCAAGAATCCAATCTATCTAATGTTCATCGCGAATCGGATGAAACGCCTTGTGGAATGAAGATATGACAAATCTGATGACATGATTACGTAAACACAGCCCCTGGAAAATTACTTGGTATACAAGAGATCATGGACAAAAACCAGGCGATTTCAACTCTGCTAAGAGTCACGTTAAAAGACTTACACAACTTCGAAAGATCAGAAAAGATCGCGCTAATAAAAATCTTGACACGTACCTCGTTCATCATTCGCCTTTGCAATAAGATCCAGTTTCTCCATTATGCGAAGTTTCTGCAAAAGACATTTCGGTATAGAAATCAAACTTTTGAAACGACTGAGAATTAAAATATTTCGATTTCCACAAAGAATTACAAGGCACGTTACTGTCATCGTTGTGAAGTATGTTATTATAGGGCATGTTATTATGAGACATGTTATTACGAGGCGGCACGCTATTACGAGGCAACCTAATTATACAATGTTATGCAGAAAAAATTGCCTGATATTCAGCACGGTACACGCACAGGGAAATAAAAACAATTTTAAAAATTCGATAAGATAAAACAAAGACCTCAAACTCCAGTTACAAAATAATTCAATGCCAATAATTTAATAGCGGTACATCAATATATGATAATATGAATAAACATGTCTTACCCTTTTAGGCTCATCGTTTTCTATGCCTGTTCTTTTAGATGAAATATTTCCGGTTATGCTTTCAACTGTCATTTTATCTTTTATATCGTCTAAAGAAAATTAAAAAAGAATAAATCAAATACGCAACGATTTTCGATACAGACTCTTGTAATCAAATTCTACTCACCCCAAAGCTTAAAACTTTGCCACAAATGACTATGAGCGCAAACCTATTGCAGCTTTATGTGTCTATGTCTTACCAGAAATCTCATCCTAGCAATGAATCAACTCGAGAAATGGCCCAAACAGAGATCGGTAACAAATTCAAACATCAAAGCACAAAACGAAAATCAAAAGAACTTAATCATTTTAGCTCAAATGTTGTCACTAAATGAACAGCCAATTCGAAGCTTCTTTTTAGACGTTTCACCTTCAGATCTGGTTGTGAAACAAAACATTATTTGACCCTCTGCCCTCATAATAACAAACTTAGGCTACTAGACACAACTGGAAAAATTGTAACTATGTTGAACTATACAAAATCACTTATCAAATAGATAGGAGGCAGGCCACAATTCTTTCACGCTTGTATTTTTATACAATCGTTATAGCATCGTAATAGTATTTTTATATTGTATTATCAGTTCCATGATCTTCTTATTGTATACTTTAGTAACATATCAAAACATTTGTCTTCCGTATTTACGCGTCAAGGTCAAGCTCAATGGTTCGTCGTACGGGTGATTTAATAACAAAAAAGTTACCTTTACAGTTAAGACGATCACGTGATAAGCTCGCAAAATAGTCGGACATTTCATGTCTCCTAGCAGTGCGCTCATCCAATCCACGACTTTCATTTATCATACTGTCGGCAGTTCTCCTTTCGCCTTCAGACGGGTCCAGTTTTAGGCTGGCCGAGCCTTGTCGTCGTGAATCGCCTCTTTCCCTCTCGGAAGCACGATCGGAAAACGATCTCTCTCGTCGATAATAATCAGCTAGTCTAGGACTGAGTTGATTCGATCCATATCTGTTTGTATACATATCCGAGTGGGCGAGAGACGAATGTGGATACCCGTCAACATAAGGGTATTCTGGTGGGTAGTAGAGATGCGGTGAAAAGTATTGGGGCCCGTGCACCATGTCCTATAATAAAGATAGAAAGCATTAGTTTTCGTCCGTGCAATGCAATGGCAAACAAAAGCAAAATTTTTGGAACTCTTGAAATCTGTTAAAAATGCCATACACTTTTTTGGCCCAATATTTTTGACCCGCACTTCCGCGTAAAAAACTGAAAGACATTTGAGAGGGAGTTTCTTGTGAATTTAAAGACGTATAAGGAAAAATGATATAATATTACCATGGAGTTGGGTGGTACATGAAATAATTTTTTATACACTGCTTGATTGATTCTCAGTCGAATACTTAAACAATAATACGTCACCTTGTACGCATGCTCACTGCCCCTGTAGCCATTAACAAAATGTCTCCTGTGCTGTTCGCCTTCATAGAATGGGTGTTGCATGTGCCATGGCCAGTCGTAGCCTCGTCTTCGCATATCCTCCTCCAAAACATGACTTTGCAGACCTTCGCGTCGCTGTGAAAAGCAGGAGCCCAAGTTAACTTATATACGCTTTGGACGGCCTGACCTTCTTTTTGATTTTTCAAGAAATTTCCAAGATATTATTTTCCTAGCATACAATCACTTTTAGTCGTTATAAAGCTCAAGCTTGAGTAAATTATAAAATGCTTCCTCTATTCATAGCCGCTTTTTCAAAATTTTTACTGCAAAATATTTTTCACAAATACCTTTCAAGTGCAATTTAGGGCTACGTCTATTTCAATCTAAAAATCCATTGTATTCAAATATTTGCTAGCTTTTATCTATAAACAATAGGCCTGTTATTCCATGCTGTTCTGACAAGTTTGCATTTATATAAGATAAAGGACCTACCTCGACAGGAATTCGGTTCATGCCATAGATTTCATCCCTGATTCTTTGATGATGAGAATGTATCCCTCTGAAATCAGGGAGCGGACCACTCCTTGGAGTAATTCCTTCAAAAGGAAGACGACCTGGCCTTGAGCCATGGTCTCTAGGGCTTCCATGATGATGTCCAGACTCGTGGCCATGCACCGGACAGGGACCTTGTCCACTATGCTGATGCATACCATGAGCAAGTTGATAACGAGAAAAGTTGTCCGATGGTGATGGCGGGCGAAAAAGACTGGCCGGAGATTCAATCGGATTACAACGAACACCATTGATAAGTCCGGACTTGACAGCGTCCTGCGTGAGTAGTACACAACTTTTATGCTTCTAAAGAGGTTGGCATTTATTATCAGAAGAAAATAGAAGACAACACTATTTGAAAGGTTATTCATAAAGAAATCTGAATAGCATTGGACTGCGGAAGAATGAGAATAATCTCGTATAAAGCACTTCATTTCGGTGACATAAAATTAATCATGCAAATAGCATAAAAACCCGTAACTGTTAATTTTGTATAAGTCAAAAGTAAGCTTTTTAACGGGGGATTCGATTTTTTTACATAACATCCACCTCCACCTGCGACTCCCTTGATAACTATGATCTGTGATATGAGGGTTTCCCTGGCTATTTAGAGAATGTTTCAAAATTCACCACTAGTAAAGAACATAAAAGCATCGGAGTTTCAAACACCTCAATCGTAGTTCTTAACATTTGACCTACAGTTATTTCTCAGGACTTTCTTATTACGAGACGCTTTGCACGCTTTAAGTGTTGAGTGAGTTTATAACTTCTACACAGAAAAACCCGGCTTGTCTTATGATCTTGTAGTAACTTTGAAAAAAGCAAAAAATTTTACAACATACTTACATTTTAGTATGTTGTTAAGTGTTTGCTTTTTTCAAAGCCACTTTCAAATTTTGTCCCGCCAAAATTTTGTTGACATTATAGTAATGCTTCAGTATCGTCATTTTTGTATTGTAGTAATCCAGTATTTGCAGTATTTGTAATATTGTAATATCTATTATTGTATCTTAATATTGTATAGTGTAGTAATATAGCTTTTGGTACTGGCTTATATAAAAAATCGATTATCAAACGTAAATATATTTAGAATTTAATCAAATTATGTGTTACCGTGGTTTAGTATGCAGAAGGAAGAAAGGTACATAAATGCGGTTTTAATGCTTCAAGTACTTAGTGAATTTATAACTTCTATACAGAAAAATTAGTCTGTGACAATAGACTTTGGGCCAAGGACTAATTGGTAAAGTTGAGTTAACATTGCAGGATAAATAGATCATGTTTACAAGATCGTGAAGAGCACAAAATGAATGAGATGTCATGCATTTGCAAGTAAAGAAAACCTCAAAACCCAAAAACTCTAGTTTAAAGATGGTGTCGCTTGTCTAGAGGTCACTTGTATACAATTTAGGCCACAGGAAAGGCTTTTTGTTACGAAGTTACTTATTTGGAAGTATCCGTTTCGGGAGACTTGCTTTAGTTGAGGTTTCACTTTGGTTGGCATAAATACAACGCAACAACAAAATTTTACCTCGTCCGGAAGCTTTCTGACTGGTTGGGGATGCACTAAGCCAATGTTGCTCCCACGATCCTACAACAAAAAGGAGTTAATGGTATATAGAAACAGGATTATACATAATTTATCATAAGATATGGGTAACAGGCACTGTGGTACGGACGTTTCTCAGTTGCTACAACTGTATAGTAGGGAGGCGTGCACAGCTCTGATTATAATGAAAGCAGTCAATGACAGATAGTTAGACAGAATTGCCATTACTTTTATTTTAGATACAAAAAAATAAAGTGACGCTACAAAGGCTGCTAATGCAAACTATCAACAAGTCAGAAATATATTGTTAGCTAGAATTAAAACCCAACAGCATATCTCAAAATAGAACAAAATTTTGATTGCTTGGAAATTAGGCAGATGTAGTAGATTGTGAAAAACAAACAGGTGGACCTTAAGATTTCAAGATTTAAAACTTAGCAAAAAAATTCCGACATAATAAATGTCAATATCCCGACATAATAAATATCACTTTCTTCGGTGAAATTTTCTGGACAAAACAACTAGGCAATTGTTATAACTGTAGCAAACGAATAAAGGTTGTGTCTTGAAGGTCTGTGTAGTTTGACATCTTTTGAAAAGAGCTAGCAATACTATATATGATAGGTAAGGATGAACTAGCTGGATGTTGCTCAGATCGAATCTGATCGAATCAAAAATTCTTATTAGAGATAAAAAAGCTCAGGCTAGTTATCAAAGCTTTAGAAATAGATCTCACTTTAACACCAAGAATGTTCAATGGTCCACTGCTAGGCCCATTCACAATGCCACTTCCTGAATGACCCATGGTCACCGCATCTCCGGGATCTCTAACTGAGCCTTTTTCTCCGTGGAGCATTCCCTCATCTGATAAGAAAGAGTTAATCATAAGGTGTCTCACTCCACAATGTGTCAATATACTGCGACAATACCAGGGGAATGGACCACGTAGAGACCCATTCGCTGCAGCCAGTGTTTGCTTTATTACGACCAATCGGATACACAAATCTTCAAAATATGGTTCTAATGCAGATTTTATTGTATGGTGATAAACATTTTCCCGACGAATTAGATAAAAATATTCTCCTGCTAACTCTACAAGTTATCCAAAAATCTGGTCGATTTGATTAGAAAATTTAAATCTGGTCGATTTGATTAGAAAATTTAAACATTCCGTAATAAACCATACTGATGCAACAACCATGTCCCATTTTGATAAAGTAGTCTTCTTCTTTTTATTTATTTTTTAGGTCATATTTTTAGTGCCTAAGTTTTGATTTCAAATTCTGTGTCAAAATAGCCACGGGGTAGTCATATCTCTCTGCTCCCCGGGCTATCGAAAAAGTTGTATCGTATAATTGTTTATTAATTTTGAAAGTAGCGTAGCTTGTAAATCTATATTGCAATCTTTTAGTAGATATAAACAAACATAACAAAATAAGTATTTGTCTACAGTACGATACAGGACATAGTTTTCTGAGAATTTGTTGCATAGTAGATCATTGAAAATGTGAAATGAAACATGACGTCAATTAATCAATGGCTCCATACCAAGGGAGATCTTGTCCTAAAGCGTGACACAAAGAAATGGATTTAAAAGACTAATTCAAAGGCTAAAACAGGTCAAGTGCAAGGGATTTTGGTCAATGTAAGAATCAGAGTGGCTTGACAAAGTACGATTTGTAAAAGCGCACATAATCTTTACACGATTCTTTACATATGTATCTATATCACGTGGTTATTTTCTGCTAAACTGCTGTGCTTCAAAAACCATCTAGAAAGCTCCATCGGGCAAATGTGTTAAATGATTTGCAGATAGTTTTAAGTCCTTTAGAATTCTGTATAATTTTCCTGACATTCAACTTTCATTTATTCGATCTGCATCTAAATGCTTCTAACAATAAATCGGAAGTACTGAAACACTGTCCTCACAAAAAATTATGAAAGTTAGAGAGTCGACAAAATGTTGGATACCAACCTCTACTTTGTCTGTACGAGCTATCAGCTGCTTCGTGTCTTCCGAAAATCCCTGGAACAACAGGGCGAGGCAAACGTCTTGAAGAGAGTTCATTTGGTAATCCGGAGGCAGTTCCTTCAATCAAAAAATAAAGTTTATTAGGCTGGTTTGGAAATTATTGGTAAAGGCAACAAAGGGAAATTCTTCTCATAAATGAGCCTTCCTTTGCTATTGTGCGTACTGGTTGACTGTAAGGAGACTAGGATGGCTCAAATATAAAAGGAAATTCGCTTGCTCGTCGCCCTTACAAATAATTCCAAGAAAGTAAGCAGAGAGAAGAAGCTGGATTCAAGATGCAATTAAGTGAGATTCTCGATACAGTAAATCTTTGATTGGCTGAGTGACCAAAATTCTCCATAGCCCGTTAGCCAATCAGAGTTCAAGAATATGACAACAAACGTGCCTCGTAGCTAGATTTAGGCCTATTTTGGACGTTTTTACCACTACCCACAAAAAAATAAACGTGTCAAATGTACAGAAATATAACCTAATTTTTTTAAAAAATTGAATCTTTGATAAGTTTATGACAAAACTGCCGTTGTACTCAGTAAAAAAATTTCCGGCCGGACGTGAGCTTCTCATCGATCTTCAAGTCTTTAAAATGTATATATAAAGTACCTGAGCGGAAAAGAAATTGTACAATTATGGTTATTTTAAGAGAAAGATGGGCTGCATTTTCTCTCAGTGGAATTTAGCGGTTTTTCTGTCAGTAACACAAGCATCAATGCCAACAAGAAAATATTTTAACATTGGCTTGAACGGGTAAGCTTATATTTGTTAATTAAGTGGATAAAACAACTTTTAAGGTTAAAACTGTTATTCTTCTGTGCTCCCTCCCCCCTAACTATTATAAGGGTTCGAAAGAGACAGTTTCAAGCCTTTGTAACTAATGATAGCGGAAAATTTTTTACTGAGTACAACGGCAGTTTTTTCATAAATTTATCAAGGATTCAATTTTCAAAAACAAATGTAGGTTATCCTTCAGCACATTTTACACGTTTATTTTTTGTGACTAGTGATAAAAACGTCCATGATAGGCCTAAATCTAGCTGCAAGGCACGTTTGTTGTCATATTCTTGAATTATGATTGGTTAACGGGCCATGAAGAATTTTGGTTGCTCAGCCAAACAAAGATTTGGAACCTATGATGTTACAAATCATATAGATATTAGGCTTTCTTTTTAAAACAGAACATAATCAAAGAAATATTAAAAATAATCCCTACCGAAAGCTGAAGTGACGTGAAGGTCTGCCTTCTCTTTATCGAACGCAGAAGAAGGAGGTGCGATTGATGCAACAGATGAAACACTGATCCCACTGGGATGAATACTGCCCCTTGGGTAAAATGGACTGCGTGCCTGATGCCCACTGCTTTTTGCTCTGGGGGGTGACTTTACGGCCTCTCGGGAAGACGGTCCTACAAGAAAGGAATATTTGGTAAAAATAAACCAAGAAAGAAAACCAAAAAGACACCGAGATAAATTACTTACCAAACAACACAAGGAATAAGCTATGAAGATGGCAAAAAGGTTAAACCACAAAGGAGCAAAAGTATTGCACAGGTTTGACAATTCAGTAATGGCGACCGCGTTGTCAACAACAAAGCGATTGAAATTCAAACCACTTTTGTGAATCCATTAGGCGTCTTTTTATGGTTTGAATCTAATACAACCAAACTTCAAACCATTGACAACACTTTCAATTTAAAAATTGAAAAAAGTTACTTTTTGAAAAATTAAAAAATTTTTATTGGACAGTCTCCTAGCTTTGAAACATTTGTGAGACTTGCTAAAACTTCATCAAAGTTTAGTAACAGGTTCTGTTAATCGCGACATGCTAAGTTCAGAAAAACATTTGCAAGATTTGGTGGAAAGTGGCATATACTAAGCCATTTTATTATGTCCACTCTTTTACAACTCTTGAGGCACTTGAGTGAACCAGTTTATCGCGGGAATTTTGGTATTTTCAATTAACAAGAAGACGAAACGTTGCTTTACGTAATTTCCCGCATTATTTGTTCCCATTACAAAATCGAAACCGGTTGGAAAAGATGGACTTTACGATTTGTGACACATTTTATTGATTGAATATTGCTGCAACATATCACGAAGCGGCCGCTGCAATTAGGCCCATTGCGGCTCCAAAAACTTCCGACCAAAACATTTAGCAGATTCTCCAACAAAAATGAGGAAAATGAGCAGTTCTAGACACCCAAGCATAAAGTAAGTACCCCGAGTTCATTGTAATAAGATATCGCAAATTGGTGCAAAGATGAACTCTTTTCTTCAATTTCTGTGTTTTTGCGACATGTCGATATTGTTTAGAACTAGGCAAGAATCAAGAATATTCATGCATTTACTATTTTCACCATCAAACCTTGATTAATTTTCCAAAATATTCCAGTTAAAAAGTCATCTTAAAACTTTTATGAAACTTGCTTTGGTCACTTGAATTTTGGTCCGCTTAAATTTTTTGCTGCGGCGCGGCCATTTCTGTCTCAGGCTGTGCAATACTTTTGGTTACTAAGTGTATCACATGACAAAATCAAATGATAACTCCTTTTAACAATCTAATGACCCTTTTTATGTCTCTTTCTCTTATCTCTTCGCTTTGGATCAATGGAATTTAGTAGTCTATTCATAATAAAAGTACCCACACAATATTACAATTTTCTAGGGAGCAACGAAGGATTCTTCCAACAGCCTTAGGTTCAACTTAGGGATGTAGAAAATGTCTGATCATAGATAATGGACTGCTATAAAAATCAGGTAAGCTTTCTGTAAGCCGGGCCGGATCCATCAAATAATTTGAAAGACGAAGGAGGAGTCTATTCCACAAACTTTGAAAACATGCCCTTTTCTTATCGCTAGACATCTTTATTGTATCTACCCGCCTCCGTAAAAGGTTAATATCAGGGAAATTGACTTACTTGACTAGTTACTGACCGTTATAAAAAGCAGTCTATGTGGCTAGGCTACAAGCAGTCGACATATTGATGGTTGAGTAACCGAGATAGCAACATTAGCAAGGGCGATAGAAAAAATAGCAATTCGCCAAGAATAACAACAGAAATCATGCTTCTACTTCTATTTCTAAGAGTTTAATCAACTACTTCAATACTAAGGGCTCTGTTGATGTAAAGAAAAACAAAAACACACAAACCAAAAAAACCAAAACACCCAAAAAGTTAACAACAAATAATAACAAATAAATAAGTTAAGCAACAGAGCAGCATGCATCAACATTCATAGCAAAAAATAAGTAGTTTTTCTATAAGATAATGTTTAATGAGGGTGATTGTGCAGATGTACAAAAGTGTGCTGCGATGAGTATTTCAAGGATACCATTTCACTAAACTGGTTGCTCAATATTGAAGACGCCATAGTACCACACGTACTTGTCAATCCAAAACAGAGTTTTCCCTTGAAAGTACGTTCATAACGTGCAGCCTTATATTGAGTCATTTCTATCATCCTCAACAACTATTTTTCATTTTACTCATCGTTCAGAATGCACCAACATCACAAAATGATGATAAACATGCTTCGATTACGTACCTGATTTGTATGCGCTTGATGGGCTCGTTTGACGTTCCCTGTTTACTGGCCTTCGTGCGGCTGGAACAATCGCTTGCTGCGCTAATTTCCGCAATGCTGCAGCAAAACTGCCCTCGTCATCATTGCGAGACCCCGAAGATTGGTTTTGCATGTTAGCTGTATCTTGGTTTCTCTGCACTAAGCTTGGAAGCGGGGGCACTGTGGCTGTTACCTTCATTCCAATAAGCTCTTTGCTATCTTTGGGCTTCGGTGAAGATCTCCGATGTCTGACAGTCGCCTCAACCAAGTCTTCCTCCAGTGTTTCGTTATTAGTCAAAACAGTTGAATCACCTGTCTACAACGAAACAAAAGAAGATATTCTTAACTTCACATAAACAAAGCAGTGACAAAAACCTTTCTATTTCTGGAATGACAAGTAGCAACACTGTTATGATTGCAACAGTATTCTTGATTCGAAGCTTTAGTTACATCAACTCTAAAGTAAAACTAATTTTTTACTATCTCTAGATTCTATAAATACTGTTTTGCGGTCATATTTGTCAAAGTCTTTAACCCTAACTGATGTTCTACGAATGTCACTCAAAAAATTCACCAGAGAGGAGCAGCCAATATTTTTAGTCTCAATGCCAAAACAAAATGTTTCTCGGCTTTCGGATAAGGCTTGTTCGGAAATAAAGAATGCGCAGAGACATATGTTGACGAAAACTGGTGGCAAGCAAGATAAACTCTCTATATTAAAATTAAAATCTGCATAGACAGGAGTTCTTTCATTTTAACTCGTCAACTATGTGAGGGGTTAGTGGTCACCGGTTGGTCAATACAAGGAACCAATCAAACGCGGTGATTTTCTAAGCATGTTTTTAATTGGATCAGCACCCAGGTGTAAACTTTCAGTCTACAACTTTTTATTAGGGAAACAAGAAATTTCGACAGATCAAGCTGATACTATGTTAGAAACATGAAAAAAGATGGTCACGAATTAGACTAGGGTTGCTTTCAATGGATGATTGATGAAATATTAACTATAACTTTCCCAAACAAGCTTCATGTCTGCATGGGCTCGGAATGTACACCTTGCTAAAGCCTGGATCAGAGAAGGCATTGCGGAGGTGCGGTAGGTTTTATTTTGCAGCTGGGAGAGCTTAGGGATAGGCAGTCTTGGCAATCTGGGTGCTATCTTAGGCAATCTTTCTAGCAAAGAAAACAGACTTCTCTCTACTGAATCAAGTAGCTTTGTCAACATCTAAAAAGTGTGTGTAAGATTATCCGGTATATAACAACGAAAGAACACCCCAACTCAAAGTTCTATACTCCATTTTGTATTTTCACGCATAACATAACATAACGAACTGGGCGCATGCCCAACATAACATAAAAACGAGGCTAATAACGTCACAATGTGAATTGGTTTCTTCTTTTTAATTCTGTTAGACATATCGAATCATTTCAAAGTGTTTAAGTACACGATTATGCTGAAACTTCTAGGCCAGTATTCCGGCCCTATTCAACTATAAACGAACAAACTTGAAATCGAGAAACTCTATGTTTGCAATAGAACCCCCAACCTTGATTGTCGAAAAAAGACTCCAAGAAATGCCCCACTACCTTGACATATAACCAACTTTTCTTCTCAAGAAGAAATCTTTAAGGACACGGGGAAGCTGTACTCTCCTACTCTATTCAAAACAACTACATTGTCCAATGCCTTGAACAAGCTAGGCTGGCACTGCAAAAATCATGTTGCCAAGAGACTTTTCGAATCATCCGACCTTGGACTCGCTAGACCAAAGGTGCGTAAGCCAGATACGCAAAGGCAGTCGTTGGATGTTTGCATATGATTCGCAGTTAAAGAATATGTTACGTAAACCAGAGGTCGTTGAAATTGATCCAAAGTCGTGCAGGAACAGCATGAATTCTTGTTTGACATCAGATAATCCGTAAGAACATTTTGCGAGTTCAGTACGATTAATCTAAGATATGAATTCCATTGAAATTGTATAAAGATTATTTAACAGAGTAATAGTTTAGTCCAAAGAAGATCCTGTTGATTCTTATGCTGACTGGCCTTTTAAACGGCCTAACGTCTTTATGACTTATCAGCCTTCTGCACGACCTTATCCGTGACATTCAGACATTAATATTGGCTTAAAAGACTATCGAAGACATTGAGTTCATCGGTGCTTTTAAAGAAGAATAAAATGGCTTTCGCAATCATTCTACCATACAATTTGCGCTTACCATTAAAAAGGATCAAAGTTGATCAATCCACGCTGCAACAGGAAAGACTTTTGGATTTTGTGGAACGATTTCATTGTAAAACAAGTTTACATTTGTGTAAACCGTTTCTCTTTGCAGAGTCAAAAACAAAGATAATAAGCATGCTTCGGACAATAAAAACGCACAAGAAATAGATTGGTACCAGCCAAACTAAATAAACACAGCGAATTAAAATACATCTTAGAATCTCATATCGACAAACAATGACAAGCAACCACAAAAATCTGAAATCCTGTAACAGAAGACTTTTGCTGTGTTCAAACAACACGTAGTAATCTTGTTACAATTTGAGGACAAACCGAAAACGTTTAGCGAAAAATCATTTCGACTTATATTCAAACGATGCCAGACCGATTTTTGTACTTGCATCAAAGTGGATACAGAACAAATGGTCATCTTTTCATAAGGAACTAGCACCTTAACTGTAGGCGACCTAATAATGACAGCACTAGAAAGCTCGTGAACTCTGACATTTGCAAAATCATAACAAAATACGTATTATGTTAAACCAACAATATAAAACAATAGAATTTTTCATCGCCATTCTGTAGATTTGTGATCTAATAAAAGCAGATCTGTAGTATCATTACTATCCAATTCTTAGTGGAAGGTTGTCTTCAGTATTCTTCAGTGCAATTGAAAAATAACTGAAACTTAGAAATTAGGAGGCAGCAAAGCACAGTAAGAAGACACCCTTCCAAAAATAGAATTGCTCTTAAAACAAGAATCTACAATAGGGCATTGTCCAAACTTGGCCGGGCTGGTAAAGGGCATGCGGCACAGTGGATTAAAAACCATACCGCCAGCTTCATTCAAGAGACCACAAAAAATAGCATTTCAATGACACTAGCAGTTAATGCTTCATATACTGAGCAAGGTTAGCTGCCATGAACAAATTTTAACAGACTCCATCGATAACAGACACCTCTCTAAGCAACAGACACTTCCAAAAAAATACACCCCAACAACGGACATCTCCACACAACGGACACCTTCCGACAACGGGCATATTCCATCAGCGGACACCTCCAAACAACGGACATCCCCACACAACGGACACTTCCAATCAGCGGACACCTCCAAACAAAAAACACACCCCAACAACGGACATCTCCACACAACGGACACCTCCAATCAACGGACACCTCCAAACAAAAAACACACCCCAACAACGGACACTTCCAAACAACAAACACACCCCAACAACGGACATCTCCACACAACGGACACCTCCAAACAAAAAACACACCCCAACAACGGACACTTCCAAACAACAAACACACGCCAACAACGGACATCTCCAAACAACGGACACCTCCAAACAAAAAACACACCCCAACAACGGACACTTCCTAACAACAAACACACGCCAACAACGGACATCTTCAAACAACGGACACCTACAATCAGCGGACACCTCCCAACAACGGACACCTCTCATCAGCGGACACTTCCAAACAACGTACACCTCCTATCAGCTGATTTTGATAGTAGATTAATAATCTTCTGTAGTGACACCAACTCTCTACACCTGGTTCTTACATGACGAAAGCCAGCCATCAATAATGTATCAAAATATTTGGCAATATCATGGATTACACCATTCTGATTAACTTCATCATAAGTTCTATGATCTGAATCACTTAATTTAGGAATTATTTCCATAATTTTCTAGTTTTCAATTCTAATTGGCTCTATGAACCCAACATTAGACTTTGAGCGCTAATGAAAATTGCTTTGTTATTCAAAACATTGCTGTTTTGAATTGAAAACAGAATTTCATCAGGAAAATATAACGAGGCCTAATACTGGCTACACAACGCAGGTGGATACAGAAAACGCCCGAGGTGTAGCTTTGTCCAATGGGAAGCATCGAGAAGCAAGAGCTAAAACGTTTAGAGCATTATCAATTTGGATCTAGGCTTGAACGGCAATGGATCCTAATCTTTTGAGTCAACACAATAACAAATACAGCAGGGAGATTCTGATTCGCATTCTTTTGGCTAAACGAAGTCCATGTTCCCAAGAAATCCGCATTTAGGATATCAGTCGTGTTAAAAACAGGTACTATTGGCCTGCCGTGGTCGGACTAAAGCTAAACAAATCCCGGAAACCTGGACGAAAGCCGCTTTGTGTAGAGTTAAAAACAAGCCCATTGAAAATCGATACACTACGGTAAAACTCTCGGGTAGTCCTCTTCAACGAAGACCTGGACTAATTACTTATCTGAAAAATGAGACTTGCTATTAGGATAAGTGGAGTTGTGAAGGAAGCAAAAATAATAATGAAATGCTTGACAATCAGAATAACGGGCCACGATGGCAAGCGGATTAGCTTGTTCGCTCTAGTTGGTTTTAACGGAAAGATCACGAAGTTTACGACTTGAATCGATTGTTTACACATACCATTCGAAGAAGAAGGCTTGCTTGAGCTCCCTTTCGGTTCTCCAAGTTTTGCGGATAGTACTCTCGAGAAGTAACGAGGGTTGTTCCAGGGAGTGTTGCGATCTGTTATGATGAAGTGAGATTAGAATTCTTGAAAAGCTGAGGACCATCTCTCTGTGGTCTGTCATTATCTATTTCTGTCTGAGAGCTTTAAAGAGCATTATCCGTGATATAAAAGACCAGTGAAGTATGTAACAATGCGGCTTAAATATTATAATTACAAGGGTCAATCCACTTGGCCTTGCCTTTTGTATGAAAGATGACCTTGTCCAAGCCACAAAGCAAACGAAGCAAAGAATCGCGCTAAGCTACAACATTGGCTGCGAAGTCGCAATCAGAGGACACTAATCAAAGCGGGAACAAATGCATTACTTTGTCATGTACGGTAATTCTTACAAAAAAAAGGTTAAACATAGAAGCTCTCATGCAGCCCATTGTCGTCTTGATTTGGGTCACAGGGAGCAACAGTAGCACTTCATATGAACGAGGCTGGATGTCTCCCTGCTATCTTACTGGAAATTCCAAAGCCTCGAGGTCAATATAGATGAAAATCAATCAAAGCCAGGCTCAAATGTACAGCTCATGGCTTAATGCTTTAAATCGAATGACCGAGTTTACATAGGGTCAGTGTCCTAAACTCTAAGACCGAAAAAGGAGTAGACTTTCTAAAAGAAACATGGTCATGTAGAGAGCCTAATGTCCTTCAGGACTCAATTTTTGCACTATTTTGTACTGCAGTATTATTAAGACTGCAGGGCTGAATATAGCGAGCAAAACAACCACAAATACGATTCAAACGAAATAATAACTTCTTAATCTCTTTACCGCAAAGTATCTTTTACTCGGGACCGGGCACTACTGGTTGACACACCTATCTGACAATGCGAGAAAGCTTGTGAAAAAGCGAGATTATGGAACCCCTGAAATAGATACAATATAACTGATAAATTTGATTGCATTGAATCCAACCATTTCCAGCATTCAAACACAGACAACATTGCTAGCATGACGTGTAGCGACTTACAAAAAAGTCATTTATCATTATGCGCGAGATGTGAAAGAAACATTGGTTTGGAAATTGTTCAAAAAAGTTGTTCAAGGCCTTTAGGGTTAGAGATTATAATGAGTTTGTGGCTGGAAATAATTAGCTTTTTAAATAAACGTAATCGCGTAAAAAGTGACTGCCGGAGTAAAGCTTGGAAAGGAAAAATATAGATTGCTATTTGATACTTTAAGAATGATATATTTGAACTGTATACTTGTGAAGTATGTCCCAACTCACTATATTTGCAAAGCAATTACCTCAATATTTAACTCTAGTAAAACAACGAATACGAAGCTACACTAGAATTGTCAAAATACCGTTCAACCATTCTTTTCCTATGGCTCACACAACGAACCATGAACCATGTAAATAATGCTGGGATTAGATTCTAGTTTAAAATATTTTTCCAGCCGAAAGGCCAGAAGTTGTTAGCTTAATTGGATTTTAAAATTAAAGGTAATAACAGCTAAGATTATGTAATATACATAAATCCATATACAAGGAAAGATAATTGGAATAAACAGGTGGTTATTTTTAGCCAATAGATGTACCGATGGGCACAGAGCCACGTTCCCCAACTGTTATAAAACAGATTTACGGTGCCCAATTGCTGCTAACGGGGATACCCTTTTTGCCTAAATTTGCCCTCTCCCACGCACGCGGTTTTAAAATGTTTTTTAGAGGGACGTATTCTGAAGACAAGGATTAGGAAAGGGATGTTAGATGTCGGATTACGGTACCACACCCCTTTGGTGCTTTAGAAAACTATGGAGACGCCAATTCTAAATATTCAATTGTCAACTACAAGATAAAGAAGGCAAAAAGTAAATAAAGTAAATTGCTTGCGTCATTAACCTAGTATTAACTACAAAAATATTTTACTAACTAAAACATAACAAACCGAACGAAACAAAATATTGGGGGGGGGGGGAAGGAATGTAAAACCTCTGTACGCCGTCTCTAGCATTACGCATCTTTGCTTTGCTTGCTTCAAACGTAGATGATGAAGGTTATTAGAAAGAATGAATGTTCTTTTTGAAGAATCCCGTCATCGGCGCTCGCATTATAATCAGCTGCTAACTTTATGCTAAGAATATTCATTTATAACAGCGAAACAGCCATAATTATTTATCATGAACTCTAAAATAAATCAGCTGAGACAAGAAAACCGGCACTAACAAAGGCATCCGTTGGCGCAATTCCATTCTTCAAAACTGTGAAGATCTCAAGAATGTTGGACACAGCACAATCCATGCTACCAGAAACTAACTGTACAAAGACCACAAACGACATTTCAATATAATTAATAGACACGTGTTTCAATGGGGCCTGATCTGCATCTTTTAAATACATACGCGTTTTCTCCAAGCAACAGGTTATTGATGATGAGGTGAAAGAGATTTTTCAAATCAATTTCCCTTTTTAATTAACCTCGTTATCGTCATATTGTAATATAGTTCTTTATACAAAAATGGCCTTGCTCAAACTGCTAGGCAACCAAAAGTGCAGCTTGCAGTTATGTAATTTGAGCATCCCATGAAGAGTTAGATTTTACAACAACAGTTTGAACGTATCAAAATAAGTAAGTGTTGCTTCATGCTTTTTTATTAATGCATCTTGTAGTCTTCCAAGCTGTAGTGTTGTATTACACCAAAACAATGTATATATATAGTATTTCTTATTCACATACCGTATATATTGTAAATCAGTATCTTTTTATAAAAATTGTGAATCAGTTTAAGCACTGTGTGTATGTTTTTATAAACTATTCCACTTTGCCATCTTGCTTATACCACCGGAGTCAAAACAACATATACATACAGACAAGCTTTTTATAAAACTAATTCAATAGCTAAAAACAAACAAAACTTTTTATTGCGTTGTTATTATAACAATAATGCAACCAAAATAGCAACTTGTCAAATGTATAGGGATATTGTCATGCATGAAGTTTTGAAAACTAACTAATGAACTGAAAAACTTTTACTAATAATGTTTAGTCTCCGATGCCTGCTGCTTTTTGCGAGCAAAAAAGGCTGTTATTGCTATCAGTGCGTGTACAATTTCAGTTGACAGCTAACTGCGTGATAAGAAAATGTTGGTTCTAATAAATTATTTTTCGAATAAACTCCCAAACATTTCTACATATTTTTAATTTTTGGAAATCTGGGAAGCAATTTTAAGCCTGCTAAAAATACTACTTCGATTTTATCTGTACTCTGACACGTGCTAGATATTCTAGTTTACTTTTTACTGAACACATCTAACAGGCACATTTAATGAAAAATGTTGTTTACTGGTTTGTGAAAAAGTGTTCGATGCCGTTTAGACAGAGCTGTACACCAGTTTATACGGGGGGGAATGGGGGGGGTTAGGTTCCCCCACTTTTTCAGAAAGCTGGTCCTTGAGATTCTTGCAAACTCGATGAGAAAACTTCAGAGGGGGGAGGGGGGTATGTACGTTATCTAGATCGTCACATGTAATTGACATTTCTTGGGAGACAACAGGTGTTTCCTCCGAAAGAAAAGTTTCAAACAGGGGGAAAGGGCGTGGTCCAAAAGAGCGTTGTCCCTGACACACCTTTTGTCCCCCCTACTTATCCCAGGCTGGAGCCACCACAGCTCTACACGCTTTTGGTGTATAGAAAATGACGGCTCGAAGTTGCTATTCCGTGCTTCACACTTTTATTACGCAACAGTACGCCAAGTTTCCGATGTTACTCTGAGTTTCATGCTAAATGCCAGCTCTAGAAATAAAAGCTCCTCAGGCATCTCTGCATTCCCGCTTCCTGTTCATTGATTTAGCTTGCAAGGCTGTAAGGCTTAGCAAAGCTTTAAGCAAATATTCATAAATTCTCTTATTCCTCAACTAAATTGAATACTCTTTTACTTCTTCACTCATCGATGTAAAATACGCTTTTACTTAATTTCAATGCGTTTTCTATTTAAATCCATAATCAAACAGCAATCTATTACAGAATCTTAAGATCATTTCTACTACAAAACACATCTATAGGAGCTATGGGCCTTCAGGCTATCCAAGTATATCAACGCTAAGACAACGAAATTTTTCAATTGATCCGTGCAAGAACATCCAGCTTTGCCGTATGGGAATTCACAGTAATCATTCACTCCTGGGTAGGCCGGGTAGTTTTCAGGGCGAGATATAGCCTCTAAATCATAGAGATCCGAGCAAACAGTGCACAAACACCATGTTCAACAGGCACAAATGCACACCAAGTGCACATGCGTAATCTATACCTAGACCATCCGGAAAAGCTAGTGCTGTCAGGCTCCTTTTGAAATTTCTTCATATAAAACTGCAGCTGACCTACATTTGTTATAATACTACAGTATAACACGGTTAATTATCGCTATAGCTCTAAAACAATGCTTTACAACCCGCTGCTTTGCAATCAAAGAGACTGCTTGGCTTCATCAGTGAAAAAGAACTGCAGCTTCTGATTCTTATAATGCAGAGATAAGGTGCAGAGATTAATAGATTAATATTTGCAACAATGCATTAAAATTATCATTACAATGGAGAGAAGTTCGAACATATAGAAATGAAGTGACGCAGTTGGTATTGCAATGCGCATCTCACTTCAAGCATAAATACCTATCATAAGAACAACTGAAAATAAATCTGCAGGTACTTGTGTATAAAATAATACCAGAACATTTGGTAACGACAAAATGTTTAGGATTCCTCGATACCGTATGCCATAGAGCGCAAGTTAGTTGTACACCGGTTTTTTTTGTGTTTGTATGGAAGAATCTTGAAAAAAGAAGTAGATTGAAAGCAATGCAGCGAGGCCCTACCTTAGGCAATTTCAGTGAAATACTCCACCAAATCTCACAATGGCAACACATTGACGATGCAAAGAAATATTAATGATCTCGCTATCTCCGTTTTGCGGTTACCGACCATAGGGAATTTATGAATAATTAAAGACATGTGTTTAGCCATTATGCAAGCCAAGCTTGAGAGTCATGTCCTCGGATATCCCAATACGATTAAAAAGGTATTGCTGACACTGTAACAAAACCCAGAGCAGACACGTATAACCTGCACTAAACACTGCTTTCATCAGCTGCATCTGTTGTGGTCGACCTTTTTGTTTACTTTTGCAATCAGCTCAGACTTGTACTGATTTTGCTTCTCAACTAGCCATGCTGGAATTGTGATAACATTCGACAAATTGCACGCGCGACTCCTTGCCACCATAAAGCTATTGGTGAGAAAATTTGAGTCACTGGTTGCAAGCAGTTCACAGCTTCCACAGAAATGACCAAGAAAAGCTCAATGGCAGTTTCACAGATTTCGGACTTCGATATGCTGTATTGGATTAACATGGCAAGGGTTCTTCTTACCAAATGAGCTCACCATACGCAGAGGCAATGGTATTAAGGTAAAAACAAAACAATAATCAATTACAATAACGAGGACTGCAATTTTTTTATCTAACATCAAAAATCCGTCTCAATGATTCCCCTTTTAAACGTCCTTCATTTGGACAGCAATCCTCCAATGTATAGAATGATTTCAACAAAATCTTAATAACAACTGTTTTCCTACAAGGCTCATAACTTGAACCATTTCTTTATTCAGAGAACTCTGGCTACGCCAAAAGTCTCATTGCCATCTGCTGCGAATCAACGGCTTGCAAAAGAAGAAGAAATTTAAAAGAAACAATTTTTTCAAACAGTTTTTTGTTCTATGTTTTTTGCTTACCACTTAAGTGACAATGCCTCGGTGCGATGTCGGCAAAATTCACAGAATGAAGTTACTTATGTCTTTAATTTAAGAGCGGAAGTTTACGGAAATCAGTTTCATTGCGGAGCTATGCAGGTTGGAATAGAATATCACACCAGAAATTTGAAAGAAACAAAAGATAATCTTACTATTAATCAACTATGGAATTATGAATTTGAAAATATTTGGCATCATAGGAAGCACCAAAACCAAATGGACAACTATTACTAAAGCATCATAGGATATAAGGACGGCCACAATACAGTCCACATAATTCTATGAACTATGCACTACATAAATGATGTATATGTATCCTTGTTTCTGTGTATTCTTGTAAATCTACAGGTTTATCTACATTAATATTTGAGCTTTAACCAAAGGAAGGAAGAGCAGCTTGAACATACACAGATGAGTTGTGAAAAGATATCGGGGTAACAAATCAAAAACTTATGAACATCGTGGACCAACTAACTAACTAGCTAACTAATTAACTAACTAACTACTTAATTAACTAACTTATTAATTAATTAACTAACTAAAACTTGGGTCAATCTAAAACATTTATTTAGCAGAAAAATAGAAGAGAAATTAAGTCATAACTCCATAACCCCCCCCCCCCCCCCCAGGTAAGGGACGGGCCTTGAATAGAATTTGCAATTTTAGCAAATATTCAAATATATAGTATGTGATTGAAAAATGAAGAATGAGAAATGGTGTGAGTTACAAATCACTTGGCAACCAGGCATATTTTGCCCGCCATTGGTGATCCTATCTCATTTAGAAAAGCGAATAACAACGCCTGCGTCTCTTAAATACAAAGAAAGCTCATCAATTTCCTCAACTTACTTCCTTCATCCGTGTGTACACGATGCACCCCAAACGAAGCTCTCCCCATAAAGCCAGTCAAGGACATATCAAACAAACGTGCCTTTTTCGTCCAACAGGGCTCCTTTCTATACAGCCGACTGTCTAGGGTCCTGCTTATTAACAGGTCTCGATTCTCTATAGTCCAGCCTTAATAGTTTACAATTAGTATTCAATATTGCGTTTCTATAACACTTAATACAAACATTATGAAAACAGTCAATTAAATTCAAGCCATTAAAAGGAAAATAGTATTTGCTTATGTTAATAGAATTCTCCGTTGCTTGCGAACCATTTGCCAATGTTTGGGTTGTTGGAAATTGCGTATTGTTTTCCTCTTAAAACTACGAATTGCTTAGATTATGTGCAATGTAAAGAGGCAATGTCAATCTTCTAAAGATTTCAATCAAATGAAATGCTCAGAATTTAAGTCAAAATGAAATGCTTTGGAAACAGGTGCTAATTCTAGTCAATGGCATAACCTGAGATGCGACATCAAAAGGAGGCAACGAATGGGAAAGAGGTACAGCTGCATGTAACTAATGCCGGTTTAGGGGCTTGGCCTTTAAAAGCGCTGCAAAAGATCGATATATAATAGCCCGGCAGTGCGTCCGATACAATGAGACATTAATGTGAAAATCAAATTTGGCTGATGCGCTTCACGCAAAATTTGCAAATCTGGGCAACAAGTTGAATGTTGCGCTACTTCATGAAAACGAATAACTACCAAACGCACTAACTGTTGTAGCGGGAGGGAGGTCATTGGCCGTCAATCTAGTTTGTGATCAAGGCTACGGCAAGGTTTCTGGTGGATACAACCCGGGGAGAGACTAGTATCTACGAGAAGCAAAGAGCCCCTTGCAGAAAAGCCATAGCAGCACAACCAGCAGTGTATCCATATAAGAGCAAGGTTACCGAGATAGAGGACATGGTTTGGGGTTGACCCCAACCTTTAGTATATGAGGAATGTTTACACCTAATCACACGAATATTTTATTTGTAGAGTATACCGCATCAAGCGTTGCTTCAGAATCGAAATGATGTCTACCGGAGGAACTTTTTTCTCAGAATCGAACTTCTGACACAGAAACTTCTTTCTTAAAAGAACAATTTTACCGTTTCAAGTAAAGATAGACAGATCATCCCCAAGATGATTCTACAAGCAAGCTAGAAACGTCACAGATATGAGATAACAGCAGAAAACTCAATATATATTTTTTTGTTGGTGTTAATTTGCGGTAAAAGCACACTTAAAGATCTGTTTTGTGTATACCGTCAATTTTCATCCATGGAAAAGCTTGTTTACAAACCTCCATCCACTTTTAAAGCATTTAAAGTTAACACTATTCAAATCACATTAAATATAAATGATCTTAATATAATTCTTTCTCTCGGGCTCCTATGAAAGGAGTCAGATTTTGATATTGTATCCCTGTTTCCTTACTTGTTTATGGATACATTGCCATCTTTAAACACATCCTGCAAATCAATGTGAAAATCTTTGCCTTCATCTTAAATGTGGATTGCATACACCAATTCGACTTACGGCCTAGTTTTGGAAATTTCTCCAAACTTAAATTATGCGAATCTTTTAAGCTCAGATTTGGTTCTATCACTATAATTTTAGGTCGGATGCAATTTTTCATATTGTTTGTGCTTGCATTTTAGAGTTTACGGAGAAATGAATATTGAAAA